AAGAATGGAACAAATTTATAAGAAATACGTCTTATACAAGATCAAATGACGATTTTCAGTATGTTTTGCTGATTTCTCTTGCAACTCCCATTTGAAAATTTAAATTTAAAAAGGATGAATGGGCTGTGGGGAAGAAGGAACCTTTCTTCACTGTTGGTGGGAGTGCAGACTGGTGCAACCACTGTGGAAATCAGTGTAGAGATGCCTCAAAAAGCTAGGATTGGAGGACCCCTTCAACCGAGCTATTCCCCTTCTGGGTATTTTTGAAAAAGAATTGAAAACATCACACCGCAGTGATATATGTGCACTCATGTTTATAGCAGCACAGTTTGTAATAGCCAGATCTTGGAAACAACCTAAATGCCCATTGACTGAAGAATGAATGAATGGATAAAAAAGATGTGATATTTTTATACAATGGAGTACTACTCAGCTATAAAGAACATTAAACTGGACACTTTTATAGGCAAATGGATGCAATCTGAAAACATACTCACTAGTGAAATAAATAAGACACATGTAAACATTATATTGTTTCATTAGTGTGACAAGATGAAAGAAAAAACATGTATATGTACATAAAAATACTAAGATAGTTACACTGCTGATTACTCTGAGTTCACTGAAGAGGAAGTTCTGTGGTGGTGTTGTTTGGACAATTGAAGGCAGATGTCTTGTGCTCTAGGTGAGTGATTTGAGGGTGACAATGTGCAATGTGTGGACCATTGTTGGCCCTCATTGATGTGATTTGAAATTTTGTTATAGTTTTTCTTCTTCATCTTCTTTTTATCTTAAAATAAAATGGATTTAAAAATAAATAAACAAAAAGTATCTATACTTTTTCTAGCAACAAGAGAAAAGATACATGATATAGTACAAAGTAATAAAATCCTTGAAGGATTTTTTACCACTGAATAATAACATAACAGTCATACTCTGGATTTAATGATGCTTCCTGTTGCTCTTTTTAGAGTGAAATATGAATGAAGGTTTAACTCTAACATTCTTTTGTTTTTTTGAGACAGGGTTTCACTGTGTAGCCCACACTGGCCACAAACTCATGGCAATCCTCCTGCCTCAGCCTCCCGAGTGCTGAGATTATAGGCATGCACCACCATGCCTGGCTAACTTAATATTCTGAACCATTCTTTGACCTACGGACTGATTAGTGTTAGGGTTTTCAAGTGCAATACAGAAGCAAAAGGAAAGCAAAAATGGCCTTTATTGAGGACGTGCAGGGGAGGGCACCACTCATGGAGTTGGGCATTTTTCCTCTGCCAGAGACAAACACGGTGGGAGGTCTTCTGACCTCTGGCCAGAAGCATTGCTTGGGGCAGGCACTGATGATGTCCAAGGAACTAATTAGAATTCTCTTTGCATGCACATGAAAGGGGGGGGGGGTTATAATCAAGGCTAAAAGGGAAAGAGGAAAAAGTGGCCGTCAGGGTAAGTGCTGTTTTGCTTTGGTCTTGCACCAGGTTAGACCACCCCCTTAGTGTCCAGTAATTTATACTAGGGCAGAAACCTTTCAGTTAGTATTATTTTAGAAGGTAGTCTCAGCAAGATATATGGTTCACATATGCAAGGCTGTAGTAAGGACGGTGTAAGAAATACGTAAAATGCAGACACCTGAAGGAGAAACCTTAGTTCATCCTGCAAGATTAACCCTGTCAGGTGAGAGGCAGCATCTGACAGCCGAGTTCACATTCTGAGCTGTCTTTTCTCATGTTTACACACGAATAGTTTTACTTCATAATGTGAAGGAAACGAAGCTCGTGGGCAGGCGTGTTTGAAGTGAAGGGGGCATTTTGGGGTGGAATCAATGGCATTTATGTCTTGCATTATAAAACAACTTTTAAAAAAAAGTTAAATGTTCACTGTTTTTGCAGCCACACTTCAGTCTTCACACTGTAAACAAGTAGTGTTCTTCAGGTCTGTGTAATGCAATGCTTTTTGCATTTTTGTGTCTTCACTGATGGTTTTGCTGTTCAGGTCTAGTGGCGCTGGGTTCAAGAAGGACACAACAGACCTCACAGAGGAGGTGCTTGCTCAACGCAGGCTCCACCCAGACCAGGACCCGGGTACTCTCACACAACAGCTCAGTGTTAAGGTATCACGGTGTACATTGTACAAAGCTTTCAGTGGAAACACAGGAGGCCAAGCTGTGTGTTCCCTGGTTGGTGAACTGTGAACAGAGGCTCAGGGCTCAGGACAATTTTTTTTTTTTTTTTTTGAGACAGGGTCTCACTATGTAGTCCAGGCTGGCCTTGAACTCATGGCCTGAATAAATTTTTTAAAATAACAAATCAATCTGGCTTAAAATCAAAAAATAAAACTTCTGTTCTCAAAAGATTTTGTTCAGAAAATTGAAATCCAAGCTACAGAAGAGCAGAAAATGTTTGATAATGCACACCTGATGAAGGGCTGGTCTCCAAAATGTGTAAAGAACACTCAGAAATCAACCACAAACTAACCCAGTAAACACAGGAGTGTGTTCATGCGGTTCACAGCGCTGAGTTCTGCACAGTGCACAAATACATGAAGAGAGCCCCAGCCTGGCACCAGCCCCCGATAAAGACAAAAGCTGATCTGCACAGGGCTCCCGGTAGGCTCACCCCCACTGCTCACATTCCTGTCTCACCTTGACTTTCTTTTCCATCTCACTCAGTCTGCTTTCTACCTCCATTTCTCATTCAAACTCTCCTCAGGGAAGACTCGCCATTGTCAAATCCAGTGCTTCATTTTCTTTCTTGTTGAGACACAACAAAGAGGCTGTGATTCCCCACCAAGGCTTTACATTCTGTGGGCCAGGGGTCCCCAACTCTTGGGTATATGGCCAATGAGCAGTCAGCAAGTAAAGCTTTATCTGTGTTTGCACCGGCTCCTACAGCTCCCATCTCTGCCTGAAAGGAGCGTGCTCTGGATTCTCACAGGAAGGGGAACCCTCTGAGAGCTCCCCACCCTGCCCTGCAGTGTGGAAACATTGTCCTCAGGGAGACAGGCCCTCAGGACCAGCAAGGTTTGGATTCCTGCTACTGGATAACTGCATAGCAATCTCCAACTTGCTTCTCAAATGCAAATACTTCCCGCAAACCATGAATACCCAGAACGCTTAGCCCAAGCCCTCTGTTGCCTCCTGGAGAGGCGGTCGTGAGCCCTCTACTACCTCTTGGGAGCCGAATGCAGCTGGACCCACGGCACGAGAAGGTCACTGTGCCAAGTGCAGACTGTGCCAGGAGACTAGAACAGGAGGTGAGCAGAAATGCTGGGATCATGTGTAGGCGAGAACGCTGCACCAGCACCAGCCCAAAAAACTGCCACAGCGTGTGACTCTTTCACAGCCCCCGAGGGGACCCTAATCTGCCGGTACCATCTCCCTTGTGTCAAGCATAAGCCCTAAGAAAAGTGCCCCTTGGTCGCTACTGTCTCTGTGATTTCTATCTCGAAGGAAGCAAAAAGGCCTTGAGTCATTGGCTGTGTGGCTGTGTCTAACCTCCCAGTACCTGATGCTGGCCACAGCCCTTCTTGGATCGCTTCATCCTATTTCTAATGTCAACATTTTCTGTTTCCAGGCACCCGCTCCATCCTCATCATGCTGAGTGTTCCAAGTTCCCTTTTTTTTGTACCGGGAATCGATCCCAGGGCCTCATGCTTGCCAGGCAGGTGCTGTGCTGCTGAGCTGAATCTCCAGGCCCAACTTTTCTTTTCCTAGTCTCAGTTTTCATGATGACGTCTTCCCAGGGAACAGCTTTGGCTCAAACGTCCCGCCTGAGCTACCGAAGCCCCCAGGGATCTATGAGACAGCTCCCTGGCGCCACGCTGTGAACCACGAAGGAAAACCAGGCTCATCATTCAGCCTTGGACCAAGGAGGTCCCACCAACCCCTCACTGGCACAGTGACCCCAAAGCCAGACAGAGATGAGGCAGGCAGCGGCTCACCCACTGCCTATGAGAAGGCTGAGCTCCTAGGACCCAAGAGCAGAATGCTGTTTACTAGAGAAGCCAGGCTGGGAAGGCAGATGGTGGTCAGAGGCCACAGACCTTCAGTTATGAGTCAGCTCAGAAAACTCCAGTGTCTCTCGGTGACAGCAGTGACCACTGTGGAGTCAGGCCCAAAGCGTGCTTGTACACTCCCACAACAAAACAAAAGACAGCAAACAGAACCACGCAGCTCAAGCCGTGAAGTATGCCTGTGTTAAAGCTGTTTGACTGTGGCACGATCGTCTCGCGAAGCATAACACAATTCATACCGTACCCATAAAAGTGTAGCAGCTCACCCGTCCATTTTACTCCAGAGCTGACAGAGCCCAATAAAGAGACAGATTTATAATTAGCACTAGTGTTGGTTACAAATTTAAAACAATGCATCATGTTTTTTGATAACAAAAAGTTTGACTGACTGAGCGTGTATCTATCTGTATGCTACTTCTTAGATGAGAAAGATTGCTTGTGTTTTGAGAGTCTCACTATGTGGTTCAGGTTGGCCTTGAACTCACCATGGAGCCCAGCTGGGCTTGAACTTGATTCTTGTGCCTCAGCCTCCCAAGTGCTGGAATAACAGGCATCCCCACCACACCCAGCTATTGGTTTACTTCCTTATTCTATCTATATTTGCAGTATTAAAGGTTGATTTCACTGAGCTACATTCCTAGCCTTTTTAAAACTTTTTACTTTGAGTCAGAGTCTCAAAAAGTTATTTACTTCTCCAGGTTGAGCTCAAATTTGTGACCCTCCTGCTTCAGCCTTCCCAGATGCTGGGATGTCAGGCAGGTAACCCCCACACGTGGCTGAGATCATTTTAAAGTAAACCAAGAGGAGGAAAAAACCCACTGACAAAGCAGCTCACTTTCAGCAATCTGGGTTTTCCCAAATAGTGACAAGACAACCAGTCATCTTGAGATGGGCACTTTGGGTTCCTCGCGAGACTTGGAAATGTAGGTCAGGGCTCTGCAGACAGGTAGCTCCAGGGACCTCAGAGCTGCAGACCAGAGCTCACTAGCAGGCCATGAGAGGGAAGGAGGGAGGGAAGGTAAGGGACCACGGCCAGCCAGGCGCTGAGGCAGGCAGGTTCCCATTGGAAATTCACGGGACCGGTGGTGACTCCCTCTTCTAAATCCACGCAGTCACATCAGCCTCTGGTGACATGGCAGCTGGACCGGGAGTACTGCTGGGTATGGAGTCCGTTTCAATCCTTGTCTTTGCATCTCTTGCGTCAGGTGAGTAGCTAACATCTGACTGGGACGATTTGGGCCGTGTTACCGCCTGGCGACAAGGAGAAGATCTTGGGGCCACCAAATTCTGACCAGGGTGGGAAGGACGCCTGCCCTCCTAGGCCACGCGATGCCACTTCTGGAAAATGTTACCGGACCCTTTGTGCTGCGTGGTGAGGGTCTTTCCTAGGGAAGATGCAGGTTCTTCTGAACAGGCGGAAATGTGGCCAGTGTGGTAACTGGAGGAGCAGAGTTACTCACCATGTGACAACTCCAGTGACAAACTGGGCCTGGGGTTTCTGGCATTTCTGCACTGTGTCTATTCGTCTTCTTGGGGGCTTCTGAAAAGTTTGGCTTTTTCCAAGTTTTGCTCACCAAAAGCTGATATTTTCAAAGCATGATCGATGCAAGACTCTGATTAGGGAAAGTATTCATCATCAGAGGTCAGAGCAGAAAGAGGGGCTGTCCAAAGGGGAGAGAGAGCCTGAGTCAGGAGGGCTGTGCTTTAACAAGGGGCAAATGTCCTGCTGAGAGGCTGCACAGCGAACTTTGAGGGTAGAAAATTCCACTCTGAAAGGTGGGCGTGGTGGCTCACACCTGTCACCTCAGGACTCGGGAGGCTGAGGCAGGAAGATCATTGCAAGTTCAGGACCAGCCTGGGCTACAAACCAGAGACTGTTTCTACCCGGTTTCCTCCTTTCTTTATCTCTCTCCTCCCTGCCTTCCTAACCAAAGTTCCCCAGCCAAGCCAATAATTGTTAGGAAAAACATGATGCTTTTTATTACTTCATGAAGGCCTTACAGTGTAAATGTCTGCATGATCTTTTTCCAGAAAGAAAGAGCTGTTTCCTGCTTTCAGGCATGAAATGGGTGGCAACGCAGCTGGCGGTGTTAATAATCCTTCACGTTGTCTTCCACTGGTGCCACGCAGGTGCAGTATTTTGTGTGCCTATCTCTACCTTTGGCTCAAATGAGACATTGAGAGCTTATGATTTTCAAAGCATTATGCTAGGATCGCTGAAGGATATAAAAAATACTCAACTGGGAAAATATGTGTACATGAAAATTATATGAGACAGCTGGGCAGTGGTGCACACGTAACCCAGCACTCGGGAGGCTGAGGCAAGAGATCTCTGGGAGTTCGAGGCCAGCCTGGGCTACACAGCGAGTTTAAAGCCAGCCTGAAGTACATATCAAGATGCTGTCTCAAACCCCCACCAAAAAAAAATATTTCATAAGACAAAATAACAATGGTCCAACCTTCTTCCAATGCAAGATATCTTTCTCGGAGTCCCCTGAGGGACAGCAGTGGGGTGTTTACTGCTGTAGTTGGCCTGGTCTGTTTTGGGCTATTGTAACTGCTCCAGCAGCCTAACTTTCACTCAGCCCATGGTCCAGAATCTCTATGAATTTCATTTCATTATTATTGAATTGCATTGGCATTTGAATTTACAAATATGATTTTTTTTTTTTTTTTTTTTTTTTTTTTTTTTTTTTTTGCTAGAGATTGAACCCAGGGCTTTATTCGTTCTGGGCAAATGGTCTACCAGTGGGCTATATTCCCAGCCCAATGACTTTATATTATTAGTGTTGTTGTTTTGTTACTGGGAATCAAACTAAGGACCTTGCATTTGCCAGGCAGGTGCTGTACCACTGAGCTATCTCCCCAGTATTATTTGCTTGTATTTACAAATAATGCATCTATTTAAAAACGTAGGCACACATAATTTAAAAATGAAACACGGACAGATTCTCTCTGACACCTTAACGCTTTCCCCTTGTGTTCACCCACTGATTTACTCCACGCCCGCACTGAGCCTATCCTAAACAAGCCTGTTAATTTAACAGTATATATTGTGAGCATTTTCTGTACTGTCAGATTGATGATGAATCTTATGTGGTGTTAAGCACTAGACTTTTGTCATTTGCATGAGTATCGTTTTACTTATTATACTCAGAAGTGTGTGAGAAGGATAGATTTTATCTTTAAAAACAAACCAAGAGAGAACCAGAGACTGGTTGGGTTTCTAAACACTGGGGTTTGGACTCCCTAGTGCCCAGTGCTCTCTCTGATCTTAACTTTGCAACAGGGCTCAGCTTTCTGGTGCCTCCGTTCTCAACTTAGGGGAGGGGAGCAGGTCACTGGCTTTTAGACACTGAGGGGAGGCTGAGAGCTGGCTTCCTGCCTGTCACGTGGCTGGGTGTGAACAGAAGCTCGATAAAAGCGCACCAAATTTGCACAGCTATAAATTCTGCCCCATAAAAATCTCCTAATGCAGAAAGCATATATTTAAAATGCAGTGGCACCTGTTGTAATATTTCCCCACAGACTTGATCACCTGTTGGTTTGTTTTCAGGAATTACAAGCATAAACTGTTCTGGCCGCCTGTGGGTAGAACCGGCTGCGGTTTTTCAGATGGGCACAAACATCTCCGTGTACTGCCGAGCCTCGGGCAAGAACTGCCAGCCCAGGATGCTTTATCTGCACACAAACGGCGTGGCAGAGAGGTTTCTCCTGTCCAGGGTGAACAGGACGACAGCTCGACACAGGTTCCAGAACTTTCTGGCACCTCGGGCCTCCATGTACTGCACTGCAAAGTGTCCAGGACGCCCAGGGGAAACGTTGGTGTGTGGCCAGGACATCACCTCTGGATGTAAGTGGGGAGCTCTGCCCAGAGGCGCAGTAGGGCCATTCACAGGGGACTGCCTGTTCCTGGCCTCACCTGGGCACGGAGTTGGACCAGTGCAGCTGAGTGACCAGCTGGGGGCATCTAATGGGAGAAGAGAGCACAGGGTCGGCTCCGGGGACAGCCACCACCCACATCCAGCACCCGTGGGCCTGGGATGGGAGGCCCTCTCCAGAGGCAGCCAGAAATACCAATGTCTAATGTGAACTCCAAATTTTAAAATATTACAGATCTATTAAAAATTTTTTTATTATTAGCCTGGCCAAATAGGGCATAGGAGTCAGGACTCTCAGATTTAAAATGTTTCTCTTTTCCTCTTTTGTTTTCTTATGTTTTTTGCTTACTTTCCAGACTAAGGTCATCCACCTTGAAGCAGGTTGCATTGACAGGTTTTGTTTTGTTTTGATTTTTTCAGACAGAGTCTTGCTAGCCTTGGACTCACTATGGAGCCCACACTGGCCTCTAGCTCATGGGGATTCTCCTGCCTCAGCATCCTGAGTGCTGGGATGACAGGCGTTGTGAGATTTTGTGACAAAGATTTAGGAAAAGTTGCAAAAGTAGCTTCGGATCTTGCTGTGCTCCTATTTCTGATTTGGGCAATTTAACCATCAAACCCTCAGTCGATTGCTGTGTTAGGCACTGAATCTCAGTAAACTAGTTAAATACACGTTACAAACTGTAAGCACAACATTGATCCCCAAATCCTTAAAAATGCATCCTTTTGACAAAACATATGGAGATTCTCGTTGTACTGGAAATTGCATAATCAAGTTGCAGCTACTATTTGACACCATAATTATGAGGAAAGCATTAGTCCAGCTGATCTATGCAGTAAGTCACGGTGTGTCCGTGCATCTGGAAGACTGATGTTCGTACGGTAACGTGAGCAGACTCGTACAATGACATACAGTTAGGTCTCAGTTCTCCCTTAAAGGACAGATCAATTAGTGGGGTGCTGTTTTAATCTAGGGACTCATTCTCTACAGCACCTACACACATTTTCATCAACACATAAAGGACTTTGCTTCTATACTGGGCTCTCTTCTTCTGTGCTTTTTTTTTTTGTCTTTTTCCTTTTCATCGGTACTGGGGATCAAACTCACGACTACCTGCTTGCAAGGCAGGCGCTTATGCTGCTGAGCTAAATCCCCAGCCCCTTGTGCTTTTTTTTTTTTTTTTTTTTTTTTTTAAAGACAGGGCCTTGCGTAGCCCAGGTCAGCCTTGAACTCCCAGAAATCCTCCTGCCTCAGCTTCCTGAGTGCTGAGATGTCAGGCGTGCACCACCATGCCCAGCCCTCCGTGCTTTTGAGAATCAAGTCTCAATTTTTGCTGTGTCTCACCTGTAGCTTAGCTACGAGAGCCAGGCCAGGGACCCCATGACACTGGCCATACTCTTGTCCCAGGCAGCCGAGGTCCTACCCACCTCTGTGCCTTTCGAAGGGAGGCTTTAGGGAAGCGGGAGGTGAGGGAGAAAGCAGAGATTGGGGCATTGAGGGATGGTGTCGGCAGACCAGCTCTCACGCCTTCGGCTTGCCCTACATGGTGGACATCCACCCGCAGGCCTACTCCCCGTCTGATGCACAAGTTCTCCCTGGCCCTGTGCACATCCTCAGGAAGCAGGGCCAACTCTGGGTGCTGGACTGCACTCCCTAGCCTGTCCTCCAGCTGGGAGGGGCGCGGATGGGTGGCTTCCAGGGTCACCGGCAGAGGTCAGCTGCTCATTTAGCCAGAGGAATGAAGGGATGTGAACAAAACATCCCCTCCTCCCAAAGGCGGCATTTCAGTGGGTAAGTTTTAGGCCAGACTGGCTTCTGCCAGACAGGATGGTGCCCACTGTACTAACACTAGGGCTGCATCTGGTCCTGTGAAACACAAGTGCGCTCCACTCAGCCTGACAGAGCAGCCATTTGGGTAAACTGGGAGCAAGGAAACAGAATACTTAAAACCTAGGGGAAGCGTGTGCCAGCATGTGACTTCTGGTTAACTGCCTCACCCAGATGAGAACAGGGAACTTTTCCTCCCGCTGGGTCAGGGCCATGGGCACCTGCTGTCCTTGGGAAGACCTGGACTCTGGGGGATTTGATGTTTCCCTAAAGCCTCAAGCTGACGATATGGACTTGGCACAAGTCACCCCTCTGGGTTTGGCCTTTGGGGCCTGGGGCAGGACTCATCCCCGACCTGCGCCTCCTGCAAATCTCCCCTCCCCCCAGCCCCACTCCCCCATGCGGCTGGATTTCTCCCCTCGGCCGTCCCGGTGGGGCTGAGCCCAGGCAAAGCCCCGGTCAGAGGGCCCGTCCCGTGACACCCTGGAGAAGCCCCACAGCTCCCCTCTGCTGCTCCCCCCTCCCGCCCCTCCACAGCCTGCGGGGCCTCCCGACAGCTCCGTGCCTGAGCGCGGGTTCCGCCTGTGGGAAGTTTCCTGCACCTGAGTTTGAGCTGAGTGTGCTCTCCTGCTCACCACACTGTGTCCATGAGAACACTTCCTGCCTAAGTGGGTCAGAAAAAGGGGTTTTGAGGGTTTGGTGGCATTCTAGAAATCGCACTGCTTTCACTGAGCACCTTTGAGGACAGGATGTCTCTGTTGTGTGTTCCGGGCTGTCAGTTGGTCCCCACTGTTTTGAACAAAATGATTCTAGGCATTTCGGTAGACTGAAGGGAAATCACGAAAGCTAAAAAAATAACTGAGTCATTACTTTCCCTGAGAAGACATTCAGGTGTAGTTAAGTTTCTCTAACCCATAATTCCTGAAATATGAGCTATGACAGTTTCCATTTCTAACCATACTGTTGGGGGAGGTGTCTTTTTGAGTAGGATCTCACTGTGCAGTTCAGGCTGGCCTTGAGCTCCCTATTGAGCTCAGGCTGGTCTCTATCCTCTTGCCTCAGCCTCCTGAGTCCTGGGATGACAGGTGTGTACCACCATACCCAGCTTTAGACTCTTATCTGTGACCAAATGCACACACCGCAGGAAATGTGTTCCAACAGGGGTCACATCAATCACAGGATTAAATGCCTTGAGATACTTTTATTCATTTAAAAATTCCATTTGAAAGGAACCATAGGCAGTCATGTTTCCACTTAATCACTTATTCAAAATTTTAAGCAACATTGACTTAAAGTTTAACATGTTTTACCTCTATTTACAGTGATTAAAATAGATTTTTAATCCAATAAAAACCTGCAGAATATATATCTTTAACATTGCTATTAAATATGTGTCATTACCATGCCGTGAGGCTCCCGGGTCCTCTCTGGGAAAGGAACTTCAGGGTGGTGAGGCCTGCCTTCATTTTTGTGGGGAATTTTTGGCTGCTGTTATATATTATTATTATTATTACTATTATTTTGGTTTTGGGTTTTGAGAGGGTCTCACTGTGTAGTCCAAACTGGCCTCACACTCTCAGCAGTCTCCCTGCCTCCTCCTGCTGGGGTCACAGGTGTGTGTCATCACTGGACAATATGCCAGTCTTGATGCTTTGTGTCATCATCTTATTGTTATTATTTTTTGTCTTGTCTCTTTGAGACAGGGTCTCACTATGCAGCTCAGGCTGGCCTTGAACTCACTTTCTAACCCAGGCTGGTTTTGAACTTGTAAAAATCCTCCTGCCTCAGCCTCTGGCGTGCTAGAATTATAGGCGTGCACCACCATGGCCGGCTCCTGTCATCATTTTATTAATTAAGTCACACAATTCATGAGATAATCTCCTAGTGCTAGGAAGGCAAAGAAGGGAGAGCCACAAGCTTTGCTTCCAAGAAGCTTCTAGCAGAAATCAACCTCAGCTACGCTGAATGAACAAGAGTCCTGTGGTCAGCGAGGGTCCCAGTCATAATGGAAGGATGGGACTGGCAGGAAAGAGTGCAGGTTAACCCCCTTCCTGGTCTGTTTCCGGGTGCCCATAGGATCTGGCTGAGCAGCAGGTTTTAGTTCCTGACTACTGAATCGCTTGGCAGAGATCTAAGGCGCTGGCGCTGCCCTCGCCCACCCTCAGAAAAGTACTGAGCTTTTCTGCATGTGTCAAGTTCTTTTCGTTGTCTGCAAAGTTAGTTAACCACCCGGCATTTATACTCCTGCGCGTTCACGGAACACAGGCAGCTGCAGTGAAGCGGCCCAGAAGGCATGAGTGTCTTTTGCGATGACGAACTTAGCCACGCTTTCTGTGTGAAACCACGGGGAAAAATAACTTCAGCACAAATTATTGCAAGAAGGAGGGATAACACTGCAATCAGTGTCCAAAACGACCTCAGTTTATGTTTCCATTTTAAGGGATGACACAGGCCCACAGCATTCTGGGAGGCTGAGGCAGGAAGATGGCAAGTTTGAGCCCAACCTGGGCAAATTAGTGATTTAATGAGCGACCATGTCTCAAAAATTAATAAAAGGAATAGTGATCTAGCTTAGTGCAAAGGCCCTGGGTTCGGCCCCTCACTACTAAAATATAAGCGAGTAGATGAAATAAACAGCTAGTTTTTAAAATTGTGTTTCCACACTTGGCCCCTACAGGGCTCACGGAAATCTAGGAGATTTCTTTTACCCTGCTTCTAGGACCTGTTTCTCCCTCGCCCACTCATTGCCGCAACTCACCTAAATGTTTCAAAGTATTTTCATGTGCTCCTACAGTGGGAAAATAGTTTGCTGATTGTAAAATCGATTGTATTCAATTTAGAAAGTTCAAAAATTATGGGGCTGGGCATGCTGGTGCATGCCTATTATCCTAACACTCAGGAGGCTGAGGCAGAAGGATCGCTGTGAGTTTAAGGCCAGCCTGGGCTAGAAAGTGAGTTCACGGCCAGCCTGAACTGCATAGTGAGACCCTTTCTCAATGAAACAAAAAATTAGACCAGTAAAAAACCCCAATCAGCTCCATAATCCCATCACTTTATCAATCACAGTATCTCCTTAATAATTAGAATGTCTTTCAAATCTCTCTCTTTCTGCCACTAAATTGTTTTGTAATATTTTTTTTTACTTAATAAACTTGTTTATAATGTTTTCCAAAACCCAAGCCCTTAAACTTTCCTCTATAACATTATTTTTGATATTTTAAAGCACATATTGTAATTTAACCCTGAGGGGTTGAGGTGGTTTCCAGTTTTTACTACATGGTTCTAGCCAACTATTTTCCTATACTGTGACCGTTTCCCTAAGGAAAGCTGTCACCCTGCTGGGGTGCAGAACCCTCAGCAGCCACCTGAGCACAGCTCCCGGGTGGGAAGGGGGTCCACTCCCGCCCCCCCCCCCCCCAGAGCGGTGGGAGAGGATCTTGCTGGCCGCTTTGCAGCGCCGCCCCCTTCTTAGAATTTCTTAGGACTCTGGCTAGTGTTACAGAACTAAAGGGCCTTATCGCTTTGATTCGCGGTGAGGAGGATTTTCGATGCGGTTTTTGTTGCTTTACCAGTGATTCCCCTGTAGGCGATCTGCAGGCCAAGCACAAGGGCAAATCTTGGGGTGCGGGCTCAGGGGCCTGAGCATCTGTGCCCCTGCTCCTCGCCCTGGCCAGGCTCCCGGGAGGCTCAGAGTCTGGGCGGGGCTGAGCCCCAGCTCTGGTCTCCTGTTGTGAACAAGCAGGAAGGGCCCACTCGTGGTCTCTTCTCCGAAGTCTGGGTCCACCGTGCCCATCCTGGGTGACAGCTTATGACCCTAGACGTTGCTATGCTGCAAATCACAGCTGCCCCGGGCCCAGGTTGAGCAGGATCCGCAGAGCCCGTGGAGCCCCCAGGGTGAGCAGGGTGAGCAGAGCCCATCGCAGAGCTGGGGGTGGGCAGGCCAGTGTGTTCCCAGAGAGAAAGACCCCTGAGGCCCAGATACCTGAACACTGAACCTTCCAGAAAGCCTTTCGGAGTGGGGGTGGGGCTGGGACACGTGCAGAGCCCAGGCTGGGCTTGCAAACCAGGCCTGCACGCCCGCACCCAGTCTGGCCCTGCTCCTTGGGTCCCTGCTCTGGGAGGAGCCGGGCAGGTTGGGCCTTGTGTCCACCGTGTGTCCTCAGCAGCTATCTCCCCCGCACCCCCGCCCGTCACCTGGGTGGGAGCCCAGAGCAGGGAGGAGGAAAGGACCCTTCCAGGGTCACAGAGAGGCACGGGGGATCCCCCCCGTGCTCCAAGAGGCGAGGGGGCAGGTTAAGGTCAAGGTAGAGGTTAAAGTCAGGGGAGACTGACAGCTGGGGGGGGGGGGTGTCTGTGACCAGAGTGCGCTGGTCACAGCGACATGGGACAGGATGGGGCTCAGGCTGGGGAGTGGGTGGGGGCTGAGCACCACGGAGGCCCGAGGAGCTGGGTGGGGGTAGGGGTGGGGGTGGGGGTGGGGAGAGGGGACAGGGAGGAGGAGGACATCGGGGAGCAGCTCCCACCTCTATGGGCCACACAGGCCCTGTCCCCGTGTCCTCATGGCTTCCAGGCTGCCCTGCGAGGACAGGTGGGCTGCAGCCAGACTCCCGGCGGAGGGCCGGGGAGCCCGGGTCAGCTCGGCTCCTGGGCTTCTTTTGCAGATCCGCCGGACGCCCCCCAGGCGCTGACCTGCGTCCTCCACGAGCGCTCGGGCCCCATGTCATGCAGCTGGATGGCTGGCAGGCACACCCACATGGCCACAGAGTACGTGGTGCACGTGCAGAGGTGGGTGACCTGTCCTTCCCAGGCCTCAGGCTCCCCTGGAGGGCCCTGCCCTCTCCGTGCCCTTGGTTGACCGCAGTTCACCGGGAGCCCTTGGGCCCAGCTCAGCCCCTTCTCCGGCCCCAAAACTGCCCAGTCCCGGCAGGGTTTGTCTGCGTTCATTAAAGGTTTAGACTTTTAAGGTGCACTCCACAGTGCGGGCTACCTCCCCCCTCCCTTCCTCAGTCTCCTTCTCCTCCCCCTTCCTCCCTTCCTTCCTCCCTTCCTTCCCTCCACTCTTCCTTCCCTTCTTTTCCTCTTGCACAGCGGTTATTATGATTGGTAGATTCCTCTCAACCAGTGTTAGGCTATTTTCAGCTGACCGAAAAGACACCGGTGTCCATAGCAGCCCGTCTCATTTCCTCCCACTGTCTGCCCCTGGTGACCACTGCCAACTTTCCTTCTTCGGATTTGCCTACTACGATCCTTCATAGAAAAGGAGTTGGATGTCGTGGGCTTTTATGACCGGCATCATTCAGGGTTCACCCCACAGTAGTGTGGATTGGTACTTTGGTCCTTTTGATGACTGAATAGTACTCCACTCAGTGGCGCTCTTGTGGTATGTTTATCCTTATGTTAGTGAGGGACATTTGGATTGTTTCTGCCCTTTAGCTTTTGTGAACAGGGCTATTCTTACCACCTGTATGTTCTCCTGTAGGGACAGGTTTTCCTCCCGGGCGCACACACAGGAGTGCAGTGCTGGGTCGTATGGAAATTCGCTGTTGAGCCTTTTGAGGTGCACCCACCCTATTTTCCATCCACATTTCTGCTAACTGCACTGGTATCTGGCAGCTCTGTACCCACCTGCCCTCATGGTTACCTGTGGGTTGTTGTGTCTATGTGGGTCCCACTGATTTTTGGGGGGCCCACAAACCTGCATGCAAGAGTTCCTGACAGCGAGGTTGCATGGAAAATCTGGAGGGGTCAAACCTCAGCTCAAGAAAATCTAGGCAAAATTCCAGCCTTGCCCATCAGGCCTGGCTTCCTGTTTAGCAGCATGAAAGTGTCCCCATGGATTATGAGGATGGTCACATGCATTTCAAAGCTCTGGGCACCCTCGGAGCTGTGTGTGTTTGAATGGAGGCTCAAGCGGCTTCCAGGATGCTCGATCCTCGGTAAAGTGGTTACACATTTGGGGGTCATGGCCCAGGCTGTTTGTGGTGCTCAGTCTCCCAGGATCTGAAGGGCAAGTAAAGCAGAATAGACAGGGTCACCTCTCCCCTGGGGACAGCACACCCAGCACAGAGCTGGTGCAGAAGTGATTTGACCTTGATCTGTCCACCCTGCCTGACAGCATGGGACTCAGTCACCAGCACATCTTGTGCCTGTTACTCTGTCTTCCTGCGTCTTGGCCTGCTGTGAAAGAAGGGTAATTAATACCACGTGTCTTAAAGGGAAGCAGGCATGGTGGCTTATGCCTGTCATCCCAGCACTCGGGAGGCTGAAACAGGAGGATCTCTGAGAATTCAAGGCCAGCCTGGGCTACACAGAGTCCAAAGCCAGGCTGAACTGCACAGTGTGACCTTGTCTCAAAGCAACAAAGAAATAAAAAAACCTCAAACAACAACAAAAAGGAATGTGATGGGGCAGAAAATGAAGACCCTCCTCTAGCAAACCCAGGTCTGGTTCCTGGCAGCAGATGGCTCAGCCGAGAAGCACATGTCTCTCTGTCCGCCAACACGTGGAAAACCAGATCAGGAGCTGCGAGAAACGAGGGGAGAGACTCAGTGTCCCTACTAAGCCCACGGAGGAAGCCGCCTGTGGGGCCAGTGTTGTGCCAGGCCCTGCCTGGGCTGTGGGTGACCCCCACTGAGGCAGCAAGGAGCCAGCATCCGCAGGGTCCCGAGCAGCTCTGCACCCCAGGAAGCCTGGGACAGGGAGCTGCACCCAGCGCCCGCGGGCTCCTCAGCAGCTTTACTCCTCCCCTGTCGCTAAGCTCCCTGTGCTGGGGACAGCACAGGAGACCGACTCGAGGGCCCCCCTCTGATCCTGTTCTCTCGCCAGTATGCCGGCTCATGGTCCCGGGCACCTGGGGTCTGGGCAGGGCCCTGGCATGGATTCTGGCGCAGCAAGCAGCCGTGGAGAGACAGACTGAGGCCCCGAACCCCAGAAACCATTCACACAGCACAGCGGAATCCCAGGCATCATGAGGACCAGGAAGGAAAATACCTTTAGATTAGGAGTCGTTACATTGATTATTTATTTATGTATTGCTTTGCTCAATTTGGGTTTTGAGACAGGGTCTCGCTGTGTAGTCCAGGCTGGCCTTGAACTTGAGGCAACCCTCCTGCCTCAGCCTCTGGAGTGCTGGCACCGTGCCCACCTGGCTTCTCATTTCTCGTTTCACTCCCAGCCCAACAGCTCAGACCCGGGCCTCCACCGTCTCCCCCTTGCTGGGAGGCCTGGGCTTCTCCTCAGGTCCCCCCAGCACTCCCTGCTCTCTTCTCTGCACCTCCTGGTGCCTCATGGGTGCTGTGCTCAGTACTTTCCTCCCCAGTGCTAGGAGCATTTAGCATCTTCACCTGCATTCGAGACTCGAGGCCTCGGCTGATTCCTGGGGTGACGTTCCTGCCCCATCCTCTCTCCTGCCCACAGCACCTCGAGGGCTCTGTCTCCTTCCTGTCCCCACTGGTCACCTGTATCCCTGACACTGTCCCTGTCTCTCCACAGCCAGTGCACGTCACGTGCTTCTCATCCAGCACTCGGGAGGCTGAGGCAGGAGGGTCATGTGAGTTTGAGTCATGTGAGTTCCTGGCTGGTCTTGGGTGCCTCAGGTCATTCGCCCCTCTGCTCAGACCTGCACTGCACTCAGAGGTCAGAACCAGAGCGCTGGGAAACCCTGCGGGTCTCCACCACCACCTCCATGGGCCTCTGAGTTCTCATGTGGTCCCCTCTGTCTCCTCCTGCTGAAGCTTCCCTGAACAGAGGAGTACAGTTCTACCTCAGGCCCTTTGCTTCGGGAGAGGCAGTGAGTCTGTTCCTCCATTGTCCTGATGTCAGCTCAAATGGGCCTCGCCCTGCTTTGATTGTAAGATCGACTTTCCCCCAGTGCAACTCCCAGACTCGAACTCCTCAATTCTGCTTTATTTCTCCCCATCAACAGCTGTCACCACGGGGCTTTTTCATTTCTTATGGCAGCACTGATGATTAGGCCCAGGGATACCTTACCACTAACGTTCAGCCCCAGGCCTGTCCTTTTTTTGTTTTGAGACAGGGTCTTGTTATGTCATTCAGGCCTTGAGCTCACTTTGAAGCCCAGGCTGGTCTCGAACTCACAGTGATCCTCCTGCCTTAGCCTCCCGAGTGCTGGGATTACAGGCAAGAGCCACCACACCCGGCTCCCCAGCCCTTTTAATTTCTTCAATGTCTCAGAATTCTCAACCGAGGATCTTCCAGTTTGCAAATGTGACATCCTCCTGCCTCAGCCTTGCAGAGTGCCGGGGTCCCCGGTGTGCAGCCCTGTGTCCCACTGCAGACGTCGTCTGTATGTGTTGGTTTCCAGCAGGATGCGCCTTCCTGAGAGCAGTGACTTTCTCTGCTTTGCTCCTGGTGCCCAAGTCTAGGGACGCGCCTGGTGCGTGACTGGTGATACGCACATGCTTGTCACTTGCATAGTTAAATAAACAGGTGACACGGAAAGTCAGCAGTGATCACGAAGATCAAATCAAGGGGACGATGGCCAGGCGCCAGGGACCGTGGGAAATCCAGGAAGCCCTCAGCAGAGAAGAGATCCCATCGGAGCTCTCCTGCAGACGGATGCTGGGATCCCTGGAACCATTTGCACAGCTCCACACGTGAGCCCGAGCGCTTCCTCCGCTCCACGCGACTCTGACCACAGCGCAGCCCACAACATCATCTCCAGCTCTGTGCTCACCTCATCTGCCTGGGGCAGCACACCTTGGCCCACGGAGGGACCCCCACTTCCACACCGACCGGAGTCCCAAGTCCTGACCTGGCCTTCTTATGCCAGTAGACGCTCGCCATGTAGCTAGAGCTGACGGACTCACTACACAACCCAAGTGGCCTTGGAGCTCCCAGCAATCCTCCTGCCTCAGCTTCCTTAGTGCTGGGATTAGAGGTGTGCACCACCATGCCTGGCTACGATGGCTACACGTGGAGGTTCCCAGACCTTCTCCTCGGGTTAATTTACTACAGTGACTCACACGTGGGAAACTCTTCTGCCCTTTATGGTGAAGGACACAATGAAGGACACGACAGACGGCCAGGTGGGGACATCGCCAGGGCCCAGCATGTGGGGAGGGCTCAAACACAGCCACTGGCCCCCTGGTGTCCAGCCTCCACCCATGCTGGGGGTGCTCCATCCCTCCCTGGCAGGCAGGGCCCCCAGTATCCCCAGGGGTACCCCAGGGACAGAAAGACCCACACCTCCACAGTCCCAGCCCAGCCCAGCCCAGCCCAACCTCCGAAGCTTTTCCAGTCACTGCTCCGCTGCAGGGCAGGTTCTGTATAAAAACAGTCCTGGCCAGGACTGGACTCGCACCATAAAGAGTTGAAAACTAAACGCGGCCTGGGAACTCACATGGGGTCGGCTGTAAAAGCAGAGTTAAATGACCTAGTAACCCTGACTAAGGCCGGCGGGAGAATAAATTTCCATCCGACTTTAGGTCTCAATGGATGTGGTAAAAGAATCAGCCACAAACGAATTGAGAACAGGGCGTGTGGTTTTCTCTAACTGGAAAATGTTCAGAGCCATCCCACCTCCTCCTACCGCATCAACTCTCTGGTTTGCACATTGGAGTTTTTATTCAGGGTAAGATTACTATACCCCCTCGCAGCTTCTCTGCTCATGTTGCATTTTATTTAGAAAGAATATTCAGTAGTTATATAAATACTGAAACCTAGTGGCTTAATTTTAGATGTAAGCAGTATTAAAGAAATAGGGAAATGTTGTTTCAAACTATGTCGGGCGTGGTGGCGCACACCTTTAGTCCTAGCTAGCGCTTGGGAGGCTGAGGCAGGAGGATCACATGAGTTGTAGACCAGCCTGGGTAAATGTATAGTGAGATCCTGTCTCAAAAAAAAAAAAAAAGATAAATCATAAGAACCTGTAATTCATCATAGTATTTTTCTTTCTTATGTGCAATTTCCCGGCCCTTGCTTCTTATCTCATTTACCCATGAACGCAGTGCCGTGAGAGGGCTGAGCTGCAGGCTGCAGAGTTCAGGTACCTGCCCTGGGTGCCCCAGCCTCTCACTGGGCCTGCTGTCCTCACAACACAAGCCCTGTGCTTTCAGACCCCTGCTGGCGGCCACAGTGCTGTCACTGCGGGTGTGATGGAGAAGCCCTGGGGCGCAGAGGCTCAGCACTGTGACATGGCCTCCTCCCCACGCCCGGACTCAGGCTGGGAGAAGTCTCTGGTTGCCGGCCCTGGCAGGAAGATTTGTGTGTGTGAATCTAACTATGTGAGCTATGCCGGAGAAGTGTGAATCTTTAAACTTAAAGAAGTTAAAAGGGTTTGATCCTCGGTACCAAAAGAAAAAGAGAAGTTAAAATGATAAAAGCCCCGGTGGCATGAATCCCCGCAGAATCTGCCCCTCAGTTTGCACACACCCGTCCCACCGTCCTGGCCACGTCCTGCAGTGGCTCTGGGGAGCTCTCTCCTGGGGATCTTCAGCTGCGCTGTTCCGGCTGCCTTGGTGTCCTGAGTTGATTCAAAATGCTTCCCTTTCCTGGTCATCCTGACCTTGGGCAGGAGCCAGAAGTCACACGGTGCTGGTTCCGATGACTGAGGGGGACGAGGGCCCATCTATCTGTGTTTTAGGAGCCATCTCTCTGCTGGACAGCGCCCAGCAGTGCACTCACTGTATTTTTTATCACATCTATAAAGACCCTCAGGAAAGAGGACTCCAGGGCTGCTGTACGTGGCAAGGGTGATGGGATGAGTGTATTTGAGACAGTATTTTGGGGTGTGTGAATGGTGACATGCTTTGTACCATAATGTTTATTTAGCCGTTAGTGACATCTCTCAGTCACCCCTGTGTAAAGACCTGCCCATGTGTGTGTATATTTAGTTTCAGAACAGTTTAATTCATAAGCGCGTGGACAGTTGATGGTGTGAGGAGGAGGTTCCTCTCCCGTGTCCCACCAAGTGCTCCCTTCATCTCTGGAGGATGCAGAGGGGTGGGGGTGCCAAGGCTGACCCTGCCGGGTGTTGTAGGCTGCAGGTACCCGGTAGTGAGAGACCTGGACCCGAGCCCGGGACAAAATGACGGTGGCTTCTAAGCCTTGTCGTCCCAGCAGGTTCTAGCAGGCCGGTCCCCTGGGACGGAGAGCCCTCCATGGCATCAGATCAAGTCATCCCAGGCTCCCGCTTTCCACCCTCCCACCTCAGCCTCCTGGAGTGCTGAGATCACAGGCCTGTGCCACCACCACTCCAGCTTGCCCCTGTTCTCTAAACTTCAGAAGATGAAATTTGACTCAGTTTTCAGGACCAGGTTGCAGTTCTGCAAGTGAATTGCAAGGGGCAGTATCACACAGGTGCGGGTAATGAACAGGAGGAGGCTAACCTGAGGGGATCTCTTCTTTGAAGTCTGGAGACTGGAGAAGAGCAGCGCTACCCGGCTTCGGGCTCCTTGAACATCACCCCAGAGGAGCTGCCAGCCGGCAGGGAGTTCCGGGTTTGGGTGAGGGCTGCAAATGCACTGGGCACGGAGGAGTCTGAACGCTTGCATGTCCACCTGGATGACATAGGTGAGGAGATGGGGGGGGGGGCTGCGAAGTCTTTTCTTTTCTTTCTTGAAGTTTTTGAGCCAGAGTCTCACTATGTAGTCCAGGCTGACCTTGAACTCACTGTGTAGCCCAAGGACACTCCTGCCTCAGCCTCCCGAATGCTGGGATTCACACATCTTTAACGCAGGAATTTGTGTTGGCCTTGCCAAATGCAGTCTGGATCCTCGGAGTCATGATGGGTAAAACTAGCATCTCGTGTCCTTCTCCTGGGCTGTCTCTGTAGGGTGTGTGTGTGTGTGAGATTTCATGGGACACTTGTGTGTATCAGGAGAACCTACCATTCCAAGCATGGTCCTGCAGCCCAGGGACAGTCAGACAGACAGAGACCCTTGGCCTGCTCTGAAACAGCCTGCTGTGTGCTAGGGAACAGGGCAGGAGACCAGGGTGGTAACAGAGCATGGGGGCTCTATGAGGGGCACACAGGGTCCAGGGACACGAGAGGAGCTTTGTGTCTCTGCCTTTATGTTTTGCAAAATACACAGAGACCTCCACAGCCCTCCCCAGGGGCCCCCCCACTTGTGACAAATGCTGATGGCTTTTGCTTCAGACACTTCGGACTACACCCCCTTCTGACTACATAATTGACTCCCCAGACCTCATCTCCAACATCAAAGTGTTCAGAGTCATCTGAGTGTGTCTGTCTGAGCCATACTGGTGGGGGTTTCTCAGGTTTTCACTGTTATAAACTCTGTTCCCAAGAGCAACCTGGGGTACATTTTGTTTAGTCCTGGTTGTTTTCGGAGGCCAGCCTGGCCTACGTCACCATACTCTATCTCAATTAATCCATCAGCCAATCAACAATTGATCCTTGAAGCTTTCACCACTGCCCCAAGTCCCAGAGTCAGAACCCAGACAAGACACCAAATGGGACTTGCTCTCTGCAGAGGCCTCAGCATGATGACCCCCATTATGGTTAAGGAGGACCCCAGGATGCTAACATTTATTGAGCATCTGTTTGTATCTCACTGCTCTTATGTGTGGGATTTTAATGGACCCTCACAATAGTCCTAACTGGGAGATGAGGTTACCATTTACACTCAGGGGTGCCCAAGGTCAGTGTGACCTTCAATACTGACCTTGCAGAGCTGGGAGCCCTAAATACAGAAATCAAGCAACCAGCCCTGTAACAGTGGCTCTCCTGCTGGCCTAGGGTGTGAAGCCTCCTCCTGCATGGGGTCAGTAATGTCCCCCATCACAGCAGACGTCTCAGCTTCCCAGCAAGCCAGGGCCCCTAGGGCACTGGCATCTGGAGCTCGGTCCCCTGCCCTGAGCTAAGTCTCCTAGAGAGCCCCCGGCCGCCTCTCTGCTGCGAGCTGGACTTCCTTGAGGCCAGATTGGGAGACAGAGCAAGATCCTTTCTCAGAGACAGTTAAATTTAAAAAATAGGAACCAAATTGAATTTAGAAGCAGCCACCGCCCCTGCAGACCAGGTGAGGAGACCAGGCAGGCTGACGGGCAGGAATTAGATCACAACCCCAGGATTCCTCTGCTCTTTACTTTCAACACATCCCGATGGCAGTGGAAAATTGATGCCAGTGTCTCTAAAAGCCAGGCATGGTAACTCACCCCAGCACTTGGGAGGCTGAGGCAGGAGGATTGTTGTAAGTTCAAGACCAGCCTCGAGACCAGCTCCAAACTGAGCTCAAGGCCAGCCTGAACTACAGAGTGAGACCCTGTCTCAAAAAGACAAAAAACAAAAAAGTAAGGGCTGAGCCATGATGTTATGGTCCCTTTTCCAGTGATACCGTCAGCGTCCATCATTTCTAGGGCTGAGACCCTAAATGCCACCATGCCCCAGACCATCATCCACTGGGAAAGCGACACGGCACTGGAGAAGCTGACCTGCCAGGTCCGGTACGCAGCCACCACCAACCGCACGTGGAGGGTAAGCTGGCTCCCTTGCCATCTGCCCGGTCCCTCTGGGCTGTGGTCTCAGTGGAGGTCCAAAATGCAGGCCTTTCCCCACCGAGCCTTGGCTGAGCAGCGCCGGAGCAGGACGGCTTCCTGACAGCTGCTCCAGGCAGCCGTCTTCCTGCCTCTTACGATCGCTGGACAGACCGAGCCTTCCGCCAGGCTCTGAGCTGCTCTGTTGTTTGCTCCTGGTTATTTAGTGTCACCCAGGGTGAGGTTCACATCCGTGCCCATGGGACATGAAATTTTAAGGACTCCGTGGTGAACTTCATCGGGCATCTAGAGAAACAGAAATTTGTGCAAACACTCAGCACTCTGGGAGGCTGAGGCAGGAGAGTGACAAGCTTGAGCACAGCCTGAGCAGCTTAGCTTTCTAGTGAGACCCTGCTTCAGAATACAAAATAAAAAGGGCTGGGTTGTAGCTCAGTGAGAAGATATTAGGTTCAATCCCCCGCAGTGCAAAAAGAGCAAAGAAAGAAGGAAGGAGAGAAGGAGGAAAAGAGGATGGAAGGAGAGCAGTGGGGAAAGAGACAGCGGAGAGGAGGATCAGGCGGATACAGAGGACCTGCGCCTGGGGACCATTCAGGAGCCTCCAGCCCTCGCCTCAGTCTCAGCCCCTTCTTAGATTCCAGGGCTCGATGTGGCAGTGCACATTTGTAATCCCAGCACTGGGGAGGCTGAGGCAGGAGGCTCTCTTCAAGCTCAAAGCCAGCCTCAGCTACACTGTATCAAACTATAATAACAAAAAGCAAGTTCACGGTGCCAGCAGCCACCTGTGCCCACTCTGTCGCCTCTTCCAGGAGTGGGTGCCACCTGCTGGGCACCTCCTTGCTCACCTTTTCCTTACTTTACCCAGGCTCTCTGCATGGTGTGGCCCTGCCCTCGAGTCATCTACAGATCAGTGCTGGCACCTTAGCTGTTAATGTCAATATCACTGGTGTCCTTCACCACTGAAGGACAAATGTGTGCCTGCAAGCTGAAATGCATGGACTGGGCAACATTCTCTGCTTCAGCTAAACCCCGGGGCCTGGTGAACTTTTCACTGAAGGCCAACAGTGAAGAGAGCAGGGCAAGATATACAGCTTCTGTTCCTTTTCCTTGTTTCTTCTCTTCTTTGTGTGTGTGTGTGTGTGTGGAGGGGAGAACAGGGTCTGGCTGTATGGCCCAAGCTGGCCTTGAATTTGTGATCCTCCTGCCTCAGCCTCCCCAGTGCTGGAATAACCAGCTTGCACCATGCCTGGCTTAGGACATAGAGCTTCTGTTCTGACCGTTCCTCCTTGTGTGGCCTGAAAATTCACACTGCTGTATTCAGTACAGTTTGTTTCTGAATGCTGTAATTCGTTTTATTCCTGTGCATCACGAACTATCCTTTTAGTTTTCTGTCAGCCGCTCGCAAGTGTGCAGTCCCTTCATGGTACCGGCTGCACACAGGCAAAACTCCAGCCCTGCCCCACAAGAGCTGGTGGGCTCAGATCACAAGGGACCAAGCCCCGTCTAAGTGCAGGTGTAAGATGGAGCCATGGGGACTTGGGGTCACTGCCTGCCCCCTGCCTCTGAGCACCAGGTTAAGGCTTCTTGGGCAGAGCACAAGGGAGACTGTAGAGGGGGGACACTGAAGGAGAGTACATGAGAAGGTTGCAAAGGGCCCCATCATCAGGATGACGCAGACAGGGACCCAGGAACACCCCTCGTCTCCCCCCAGCAATGCGCTGGGAACCAAGCTCTAACCAGGTAGGCTGAGTCCAGGGCTCCTGGCCTCCAGAACTGAGGCTGTGAAGATGGCATCTTTCTAGTCTATCTTTTTAAATCTCAAGGTTAAGGTTAAGTTCTCACTAAGTCACTGAGTCACTAAGTTGTCTGGAATGGGCTGGAAACAAACAAAAAATGAGGGTCTGAGCCAGGTGTGGTGGTGCACACCTCTATCCCAGCACTGGGGAGGCTGAGGCAGGAGGACTGCATTGAGTTTGAGACCGGCCTGGGCTGCATGACAGACCCTGTCTTGAAACAACAACAACAATGACCAAGACTGAAGGTGTAGCTGACGTCAGGACCCTGGGTTCTGTCCCTAGGACCACACGCAGGCACACACACACACACACACACACAGACACACACACACACACACACACACACACACACACACACACACACTTCCAACTTGAGAACTGTGGCTTAATTTTAGGGCCTTCCTTTCTTCAAAGCAATTCATTATAAACATGATGGGCAGTAACCACTGGAGAAGAAAAAGTTAAAAGAGTGCCGATAGGGAGCCACACCATGTGTGTTCGAGAGTCAAGTCTCGGGCAGGGTGGAAAGACCTCTGCTGGACCCGGAAGACTCTTGATCGGATCACACAGTGAGCCGAACAGAAGCCAGACTTACAGGAACACGGGAGGGTGTCGTCCGGGATTCACGCACTCGCAAGGTGTCTCCATGAATGTTACACCTCTAATGCCTGCTGAGTTTTCAGAATGATGCTAAGAGGGCCCTTTAACAGAAGAATCTCTGCAGGAAGGTGACACTTCCCGAGTACCTGGTAACATTAACACCTTTCCAGAGGCATCGGATGTCCGCCTTTTGGTGTGCACCGCTGTGTTCTGGAAATACCTCTATAACGCCTCTGGGAAGGATTCTGCAAATGCCTCAGCTCTCCCAGGACACAGACTGTCTGGGGCACCATGCTGCAAACTGTCAGTGTATTCCTCAGTCACATTTTCTTTTTTTATAGTTCAATGTTCTTAAACATTGAGCTTTTCTCTCCTCTCCCTCCCCCAACTCTGTCCTGTACACACACACACACACACACACACACACAGCTTTGTAGAATTTGCCTAAATCTGGAGTAATGACCAGAGTAACAGCTTAGCTTGTCGGTCACTTTTTCTAAATCATAAGCAAGTGAAGTCTTTTTCATCATTCAGGAAAAATTATTGATCCAAATATTCAACAGCAGAGAGAAAAAGAGAGACAGGAGGACAGGAGACAATCAAGGACCATCAAGTCCTGTTACAATCAGCAATTCCAGATGTAGAATAGATGGTGTCTGGGGTTCTCCTATCACACATGTGGTTTTTTTCTTTTTTTTTTTTTTTTACTGGTCCTGGGAATCGAACTCATGACCACCTGCTTGCAAGGCAGGTTCTTATGCTGCTGAGCTAAATCCTTAGCCCCCTAATGCATGTGTTTGCTTCTGGGTGTTTGGTGACCTTCATGTTCCTCTTCCTTTCTCAGAGTTCGGAAGAAGGTGAGGAAGCAACCAGTGCTCCAGCCCTTCCTGCTAAGTGGACTAACTTCACCTTGACAGCAACCGTGTCATTTTTTTACTGCTGTGCTCTTGTTTCAGGTTAAAGAATTTGACACCAACTTCACATACGCACAGCAGGCCGAATTCTTCTTGGAGCCAGGCGTTAATTACGTATTTCAAGTGCGGTGCAGAGAGGCAGGGAGCAGGCACTGGCAGCCCTGGAGTGCACCCTTTTATCACAAGACACCTGACACAGGTGAGGCCGCCCACCACGGGTTTTCTTCTCCAGGGCTTTCCTTTTGTCCTCTGACCCTTTCTAATCTGCATGTGTGTGTGCTTTCTGGCTTGACTTCTGCCAAAATGGAAAAGACTAGGACAGCCGGAAATGCGTAACTTATGTGGTTCTGATTTTGTTGAAGGTGACTAAAGTTTATGCAGTTGTTCTCAAGTATTTTTGGACATGAAAAGTCCTTTGTTTAAGATATGTCTGCTGCTGCTGCTAGGAGTCTGACTCCACAGTTGGGGTGACACCTTGAAAGTATGCATTGCTTGCAAACGTCCTGGATGGTTTTTAATAAACTCTAGAATCACACAGCAAGGTTCTTCAGACTGATAACTCACTGCTTACAAAGCACTGCTCTGCTGTGCATGAGACTGATTTTTATGTCACTCATATTGGTAGTGTAGCACTGTCCTTCTGTAAACCCAGTAGCTGCAGGTGACTGGTGTGGCACACTGCTGGCAGGACCCGGGTACCTGCTTACCCGATACTGGGCACGTCCACCCCTCTGAGCAAGCTTGCAAATGTTCTTCAGGCTTTGTGTCCATGTGGAGGAGCAGCTGGGTGTGGTGGTGCATGCCTGTGATCCCAGCACTCAGGAGGCTGAGGCAGGAGGATTGCCTTGAGGTCAAGGCCAGCCTGGGCTCCATAGTGAGTTCAAGTGCAGCCTGAACTGCATAGCGAGACTCTGTCTCAAAAAAAGTGGAGGAGCCACTAATCTAAATACCCTGCAAGTTATATAGAGGACCTCGAGAGAGCTCTAGGGGTAGAGGGTCTTCCGCCTGGGATGCAAGGGAAGCAAGAACACCAGAGTGACCCTCCCTCCAACGGCCCAAACTGTTTCCTGAGGAGAAAAATCACCGAAGGGGGAAAAATACCAGTGAAAAGAAAGTACCTCTGAAGACTCCCAGGTACCCAAGCTTCCCACATTAGCTGAGAGGAACCGCAGCCTACGTGCTTGGTGCAAATGTCTTTCCAAGACATGTCACATCAGAAACGGGAGAGCGTGTTAGCAAAAGTGCAAATATTAAACATTTGTCTCTTTTTTCTATTTGTAAAAGCAATGCAAATTTATTATAGTGTGTAACACAGAGTACCTATTGTCACTTCCTAATCAATGTGACACCAGTTTTTTCCCACATGCTTATTTTCTAATGATGGATGGTATGGTGTATTTGCAGGTTTGCACTCTGATTTCCTTAGTTTGTTGGATTTTTATTTTTATTTATTTATTTATTTATTTATGGTACTGGAAATTGAGCTCAGGGCCTCACACTTGCCAGGCAGGCACTGGGCTGCTGAGCTATTTCCCCATTGTGAGGATTTTTCAAAGCTATTTAATAAAAAAAATTTAAAATTCTTTTAATGCTGTGCAACAGTCTAGTTGATGGATGTACTCTAAATAAATCTAATCCTTATTTAAACAATATCTAGGTTTTTACTTATAAATAATTTTCAGCAAGCTTCTTTGATATATTTGGATATAAATGCTGGGATTTTTTAGGTCTAAAGAGTTACTAGAGGCTAATTTAGTGCCCTTTATTCTGTTGTCCAATTAAGAAATCTGTTAGATGAAAACACATGGGCTTTTATGTGTAGTGGATGAAGCAGATTTTTCTTTACTATAAAAAAAGACTTATAAGATCTAGAGTGAGGCACAGGTTCAGATGCCAACGCCCCTTGCCAAACTGCTTTATAGAAATCTTTAGTAGGAATTGGTTTTGAACAGGGCATCCATGAGGGCCTCTGAAATCCCAGCGCTCTGGGAGGCTGAGGCAGGAGGACTGCAAGCTTCAGCCCAGCCTGAGCACCTTAGAGACCCTGCCCCAGAGCACGAGTTTGCCACAGAAAGATTCGCTGACTCTGGAGGCGGGCCGATCAGCCTCTACTGCACACCTGGCCCAGGCTCTGGCCCGGTCTCTGAGTCACAGCAGCAAAGCTCCTGCTCTGGAAAACTTCCATTCTAGAGAAGACAGAAAATAAAAATCCAACTCAAATCTCATGGCGTTATAAATGAGAGTGTAAACAAAGCGAAAAGATTGCAGCCTCACTGCTGAAGTTTGAGCTGCCTTATGATCACACGAAGAAAGTATTACTTTACTCAATCAGTTTACCTAGTAATGAGGTTTGTCCGTCGGGCAGCCTTGCCAGTAAGTAAGGCTGATTGATGAAGAAACGTGGTCCTGGCAATAACGTTCCCTTCAGGCAGGAATTTCCTGTTTTATTCTCTGACATTCTTGGGTGTGTAGCACTGAATTACTCATCTCCACACAAAAAGAAACCAAGCCCATTCATCTGTGGAGGGTTAAATGAGTTGTAAGAATGTGTTTTTCTTCCTGAGAGTATTGAGGCTTTCATGGAAACCAGAACCTTATTCTAAGAAAGGAAAGCAAGAGAAAGAGACAAAGAGAGAAGGAGGGAGCAGCCCCTCGGAGGATGAAATGAAAGTTTCCCAGACACCCAGGAAGCCCCTCCAGCCTGGCCCCTTCTGTTTCTCCTAGTGTCTTAGCGGGGCCCTGACGTGGTCGCCTCTGGCCGTCCTCACGGTGATAAACAATGGCCAGCGTTTATTGGCTGCTCCCACGTCATGTCCCTGAGAGGGCGACACCACCGGGGACGCATTTAGAGCCCAGTTGTCCGGTATTCATCCCGGAGCCGCTAGGAGGCGCCTAGTTACCCTCCCACTGCACAAATGGGACCCGGAGGCCGAGGGGCTTTGAGAGATGTCACGGAGCTGGGCCAGCCCCGGCCGTGGGTCTGCAGCCCGTGTCACTCACAGCGCTGTGACTGAGTCCTCTGCGGAGTTTGCTGTACAAAGGCAAGCACAGAAGGAGGATGCGACAGTGACTGTCAGCAGCACAAGGCGTGACAGAGGGGCCAGGGCACTGCTGAGACCGGTAAGGCAGGGGCAGGTGTCAGGTGAGCTCTCTGCGGGCACTCCTGCCCCTCCTGAGGCTGAGTGTCCACCTGCTGTGAAAAGCCCCGATTTCCTGCAGTGCAGGAGTCTGGCAAAGGGGAAAGATGGTGTCAGTGTACAAAACCACGCGAGAACACGAGAGTCCCTCCCCTAAATTCACCACGATCCGTGGACAAAAGGAGCACGCACCGCTCCCTGGCAGGAGTGACTTTCACCTCTGCACGGTGACACAGCTCTCCAGTGACGAAACCCAGACAGCAGGGGCTTGGTAATCCCTTTAATAAGTCCCTCGTAATCCCTTTAATAAGCCCCTCCTGATGACTTCGCTGAAATGCTCACACTGAAACTCGCAGAAGTCTCCCAGAGAGATTGCCTCATACTTTTTTTTTTTTTTTTTTTTTTTTTTTTTTTTTTGACAGTTTTCCAAAGAAAGGCAAGTACGGGCCACTCCTGCACTCTGCCCTGCATTCTCACAAAGCCACTGCTTGTTGCATCTCAAAGGGCTCCTTTAAGGTTCTCATTAAGTTTTCAGGACTTTTAGTGACTGAAAGAACAATAACAAAAAAATTGTATTACTGACGCTAGATATAAAGGATATTAAAAATGATGCAACGTCAGTGGTGGCACGTGGAGTGTGTCTTTCAAACAAATTCTGTGATTTTTAGTTAGAGATTTGTCATTCATCCATGTGGAGATGGGTATAAATTTGCAGTCTTGGTTGCTAAACTGCTCCACATCACAGTATTCCTTGAAGTGCTAATCATGTTAGACATTGCATTTGAAGTTAAGTGAATGTCCTTGGATCCTATCCCTGACAGGCATCAAGTTTGTGTAGAATTTTAAAAAACTCAATCTTTCTGAAGTTCTCCATCTGCTCATAGAGAATAAAGATTACAATTTTCCTTGAGGGAGTCATAATTGCCTGTATACAGTTCCCAATGCTGCTAGATTAAGTTATCAACAAACTTGATACTTTAAAACAATATCCACTAGGGGCTGGGGATTTAGCTTAGCGGCATAAGTACCTGCCTTGCAAGCAGGTGATCGACAGTTCAATCCCTGGTACCGATTAAAAGAAAGAAAGAAAAAAAAAACAATATCCACTTGTTGCCTGATAGATATTTGTTATCTTAGTGCCTTTGGAACTAGATCAAGGTGTGTTCCTTGTGGAGCCTGCAGGGCAGAACCATTTTGTTAACTTTCCCAGGTTGTAGAAGCCACCTGCACTGCTTGGCTTGTGGGCCCATCCTACATCTTTGGGTTGAGAAGTGTATTATCTTCCAATCTCTCAGACTTTTGTACTTCCTAAAAGCATCCTTGTGATCTCATTGGATCCACCCATGTAATCCGAGACAGTGGTCCCGAACCATGACCCCCGGGGCCATATAAGGTCCCCTGGTCAACAGGTGGCACAGGGATATCTTTGGGAAGCATTACTCATGCTAAGGCATCACCAAGCCAGGCACCTCGAGGAGCAGTGTTTACCTCTCAGGGTGGTCAGGGGTGAACAAAAACAAGGCAGGTCTGCTTGTTGAGGCAGAATGGAGATGGCTGGAAAGAGCCCAGATCAGAAGAAAGGCTAGCGAAGCAGGCATGGACAGAGTCCATGTGTGACAGGAACCAGAACTACAGCCCAGGACAGTGCTGGCAGGAGCCCTGTGGGTGGCATCGGGGCCCCTGCCACTGCCCATCCTGTGCCTGACGTGGCCCCCAGGGTGGCATCCGTGGCTGAGTGGTTTCCTGAAGTTGAATCTAGAGTCTGGGAGTCAGGGAGGGAGGAGACATCTGATCTGCTGGGCCAGGGCCACTGGGGTGCACAGGGTGCACTGGGGTGCTCTGTGCCCGAGACCCCTGGTCCTGCTTGCTTCTCTGTCTTAGGGTGCCCCCGAGCAGTATGTCCCTGTGCCTTTCCCTGAATGCCTGCATGGACCTTGCTGTCTTAATTCCCGAGGTGAGGTGACCCCGCATCCACCGCATGGTTCAGCATTTGACTTGTTTTTCAGGCGGGGTCGTGAGCGTGTCGCTAATGTGCCCGTGGGGCTGTGAGGGCCACTGTCTTCATCCAACCGATGGACGCAGGCTGGGGTCAAACCCCTGCCCTTGTAGTAGTAAAGCTGAGTCCCACCCTCAGGGCTCTCTGGCTGGTCCTCGGAGGTGGCACTTGCACGCTGTGGTGCAGCTGAATTATTAGACAGTGGTCCCGAACCAAGACTGGGAGGGGAGATGCTTGTGTTTAAAAAATCAGGGTGAGCGCTGGGGGGAACTCCAAGAATCTGGAAAACACACCCTTTGTCTCTTTTAATAGGACTCCTCTTTCTTGAATATCTATCGAGAACCTTCTAAAAGAAAAGTCCAGAGAGAAACTCTGACCAAAGCTGCAGGACCAGGAGGGGTGGGCGTGGTCGGGCGTGGCCGGGGGCGTGGCCCTGACGCCAAGCTAGGCCACGGCTGAGGCAAATAAAGAAACTTTTACAGAGGCCTGGATCCTTTGGTCCAGTGATTACACCTGTAGAAGTCTTACCTTAGGAATAGAGATAGGGAGAGCAAGAGATGGGAAAGGAAATTCACACGCAGGGACAGTTACCTCAAAGCTAATTTCAGTAGTGAAAACGGGAACCAGCGTATGTTCAACAGCAGTCACAGTGCAGACTTCTTGTTTTTGTTTTTGTTTGTTTGGTCCCGGGGATCGAACTCACGACCTCATGCCTGCCAGGCAGGCGTTTATGCCGCTGAGCATAGTGCAGACTTTCTAAGGGTCTGATTATGTGACACAGGGCACTGCGTGCTTGCTGCACTAACTCACCAGACCTCAAGAGTGAAGTCCGCTATCGCCAATTTTACAAAGGAAAAAACCGAGTCTTAGAAAGAATAAAAGACTTGCCCCGAGCTACACAGTTCTGAGCAGTAGAGCCAAGGCTTAGACAAGCTTCACCTGAGTCCACAATGGTCTTTGAAACCCCCAAACTATATGGGTCCCCAGAGGCAAATCACTGGACAAATACAGTGTAAACAGGATGCAGTCTTGAATAGCTGTGAGTATGATGTTCTGAATAACATTAACAGTAATGAAATGTTTATATAACACTGAGCACAAAAAGGCAGTATCACCGTATCAAAGGTGATGATCTCCACAGAGCACGGGTGTACCCAAAAGACGTAATAAGCGTGAAAATAATTGTTCCTCGTTTGTGAACATATAAAAAATTGTGTATACGCGTCTTCCTGCATTTCTGTGCTTTTCAGGCACGCTATCATGAGTGCGTATTGTGTGTACAACCGAGGAAGATGGTTCCCAGAAGAAGATGGAAGGTTGGCGCTGTGGCCTAGCTCGGGGTTGGCCTGCTGTGGGGCTCATCCCGCAGGGCCAGCAGCTCCAGGGCACCATGACAGGAAGCGTCTGGGGCGGGCGGCCGTGGAGGGCTGTCCCCTGCTGAAGGAAGCCGCCAGCTGCTGGGATGGTGGCAGCACAGGGCCAGATGGGATTTCTGATCTCCAGCTATTTCCTGGGGACGCTGGGCAACCTCATCACCCTCCCTAAAAGTTTGCTTCCTCATCTATCAAATGAGGACTGGAGAATTATCTACCCAATAGGAGGCTGAAAAGAAAAAAGTTGCAGTGGATTGGTAACTGGTGGTTAACTTAACACCAGCTGAGCTGAGTCAGCATGGTGCTGAGTGTGGAGGGCCCCCGCTGAGGACTGCGGCCAGCATGAAAGGAGACCTGCAGAGGAAGAGGAGTGTTGTGGGTTCTCTAAGTATTGTTGTTGTCGTTGTTATTGTTGTTGTTGTTGTTTGTAGCCGTTGGTTCTCCTGGAGGAGCTTGTCATGCTGGCTCTCCTGATATGAACTCGGCTGTTATCAGAGAAGCTCAGGACCTTGTTGCTGAGAATGGCTGTGGTTCAGTTTGGGGGAGCCCTGGTCCTTCCTTTGAGCGTTGCTTCTTGGCTCCAGGGCAGAACTAACCCTCAACTTACTGGCACAGATCCTTCACCCTGCTGGCATAGGCTTCTAGCTTCCACCGCTGACCTTTGGGCCTTCCCAGTGCAGATCTGTGGGATAGACTTGTGTGGGTCATTTTCATGAGCTCAGCGTATTCAGCTGGACTCTGCAGGTTATTGCCGTGGGACCTAGGCCCTCGGCTGGATTCTCTAGGTCTTCAATGTTGTGGGCGGATTTCCTGCACCTTCTTTATGTTGGACTCCTTGGGTGCCATTATAAGTAATACTATGAGTTATGTGTCCCGTGTTCTCCTTGCGACCCCGACTATAACGGAAGACCTGCCAACTCTAGGGTGCAACCTGCACATTACTGGCACTCATTAAAAACACCACAAAAGGACAGCAGAACATACTTGGGCCCCTGGGAGACCTGAAAGCACTCACAGACAGGGTTTGGCAACATTTCTAAGATACAAATGGAAGACCAGGTCCATTTCCATGGATTTGATTGATTTAACCTGTTATTTGGCAAGCAAAAGATTGTAGTCACGGTTTAAGTTTTTTCCAAGAATCAGACACTAAATTTCTGTGCGTGTGTGCGTGCGTGCACACACACATGCACATAGTACTGGGGAGTGAACCCAGGGCCCTTGCACTGAGCTACACCCCCAGCCCTTCTTACTTTTTATTTTAAGGTGAGATTTCTCTGAGCTACAAAATTGCACAGGGTTGAGCTCAGAAGTTGTGATCCTCCTGCTTCAGCCTCCCCACGTGCTGGGATTACAGGCCTACACCATCGTACCTGGCCTGACACGACATTTCTTGGATGAAAGCACTCTCAATTTTCTTCAAGCGCATTGTTAGAGGCCAACTCTAAAGTTCTCTGTCAGTGTGTTTAACCACAAAAATAATTCTTCCAAAATTAGGTCTGGTCTGGGCTCTCTGAGAATGTGTAACTATCCTGTGACAGTAACAGGCCTAATTTCACATCCTTTTGCAGGGGCAGAACTGTCTCTTAAAGACAACACCCTGGAGACTAAATAAAGAATGAGAACACTGCGAGGCTTAGCCAGCATCCCCATGCCGAGCACTGACACGGGCAGGGCTTTTCAGGTGGGAAGGCCCCATGTGTATCCATCTCTGTTTGTGAATTCTTTTGTATGTTAAAATACTCAAAAATACTTATAAGATACAAATAGCTGGCAAATTAAGGGGGTGCAATTAGGTTCTTTGATCTGCTCCTTATGTCTCCAGTTTAAACACCTTTGCTTAATTTTTGCTTTTATCGCGAGAAATGTGACAAGCAACGGCCTGGCCACTAGGTGGCATCACGCCTGAAGGACGTGGTCTATCTGGAATCCCTGTAGGCCTGTGCTTAAAAATGTCACCGACTGGATTTCTTCTCTTCCAGCCTTCTTCATGAGCTGTCTTATTTTAGGGTATCTGATGCTCCTTAAATTATCCTCTCCTAACTAAGCACCTCTTTCAAGCGTCTTGACTTTAATTGCAGTGAACACAACTGGTTGATTTGAAGCCATGATAACAAGTAGACTCTAAAGAGAGATGCCATTTATCCTCCATTAGGGCTAATAAAGCCCTATCAGCCACGAAAATCATTTTCATGTGACGTGAGTTAATAATTGAATAAAGTTTCATTGTAAATACCTGCAGCGTAGACAGCAGAATGTCGTCAACCTCTGTTAAAAACCAACCAAGCACTTGCTGCATTTAAATTAAAATGCTAACTTCAGAATTATTAAATAGAAGTCATAGAGTGACACTGGCCGTGCATCTGTGACTTTGCCAAGCTGAAGCCCGCGGCGGGTGTTACTGAGTCTCCCACCGCTGGCCCTGCCTGCGAGGGGGATTCCAATGAGCACTTGTAGAGAAACCAGAATAAAATAGAGGAGAGGAGTTCCGACTTCTCCGGTATTTTCATCTTCTGAAACCCCCTGTGCATTGTTCTCAAGGAATTGCCCTTCATAGAAAAGGAGCCTTTTTCAAAAACTTTCAAAGACCCACAGGAACCTTTTCACTGTAACCCTGTAGTCCAATTTTCCAAGCGAGTCCCAGGGACCCCGTAGCTTGTTACTTAAGCCCATGGTGTCTGTGACCCCCAGGGACACCTGGCCCAGTAAGAATTGTTTTGCAAAGTTTCAGAAGGACTCACAGACTGGCTCCAGGCAGGGACACAGAGCTTTGACCCAGCTTCAGCAGTGTCTCTGGGCAAATCTCGTCCTTGAAGTTTCTGATAGCAGCTGCTTTTAGTGGTCAGGGTGGGCAGGTGGATGATGTCACTCTGGGACTCTGTAGATCCCAGACAGACTCTACTTGCCAGACAGAAGGCAAGTCCACGGCCAATTCTGCTCCCCTGGGCAAGTTACAGCTTTCACCAGCAGGTGGCGGCCAGGGTGGCCAGGGAGTCCTCACGGGGGAGCAGGGTGGAGAGGTGCAGAGGAGTCACCCAGGCCTGTGTCACTGTCCCTCCAAAGTGTCTGCTCCCCAAAGCCAAGCTGCATCTGGGAGCCGGAGGTTGCCAGCACCCCCAGCTGTGACATCCAAGGGCCCTGGGGATGGGAGCCTTGATCATGTCCCCTGCTGGAAGGAATCAAGTGGGGACAAACTCTGGCCCTCTGGCTCAGTGCACTAAACTCCTCGGTATCTGTCACCTGGTGGCCTGGGGAACAGAGTGACACATGGGGACCTCGAGTGTGCAGCCATCCAGAGAGTGTTTTGTCTTTTGAGATTCAGAGCACTTGAAGGTCTCGCTTTGATTTCTCTTTCCAGGTGGTAGCGTTGGCCTTGGTCAGCTCTGCATGGGGGAAGTGAGTCTCAGGGAGCCTGTCCCTTGCAAGCGCAAGGTGCTGATGCCATGTTCCTTTGTGTCAGCCCCCCAGGTCACACAGAAGTCCCTGCAGCGCGGCGCTCGGGATTCGGACTCCGGGCCCCTGGTCCCTTCCATCTTAAAGGTTTCTGGTAAGAAGATACCACAGGGGATCTGGGGGAGTTTAACTGATGCCCCCCCCCTGGCACCACCAGGCATAGGGCTCTGGTCCTACTGTAAGATGTGTGCTATGCCGCCTGTGGTATGCCGCCTGTGGAGGGTTCTCCGTGAGGTACAGAATCCACTGGGAGCTGAACTGAGGACCAGTTTGGGCGGATTTTGCCAGCTGCTGCCGTGGTGTGGATAAATTTCATTTCCGCAGGTCCTGGATCCCAGCACTTCTTTCTGAACAGATGCTATGTGCTACTAGTTTCTCAGGCATCATCTTTCTCAGTCTGCAAAACAACCGAGTGAGCTGAATTCTACGTTTCTGTTTCATAGATGGGAAAATGGACGCCCAGAAAGGTTTAGGAACAAGTGTAAGGTCACACAGCAGCTGGGCCGCAGCTGAAAATTCAAATGCAGTCGCTTACATTTTGCAATCTATGCTCTTTCTTGCATGTAAACTGGCTCCCAGTTTATTTGTTAGGACCTCTGGGTGTTTCCTGTCGGTAAGCAGACACCTAAATGATCCAGGCATTGAAAGAAATCTTAGACCAGGTGCAAACCGATTACAAACTGCACACCTAGAACTCTAGATAGAAATTTCAAAGTGAGAAACTTCCGATGTGACTGCTTCGCCGTGGGGGACCCTTTATCCCCCTGCGTGGGGATCGAGTGGACCCCGTATCAGAATGGATGTGGTATTTTGAAAGTCTTCATCCTTTTGCTTCGTCACTTAGCAAACATTCATTAAACAGTGCCTGTGTTTCAGGCCCGGCTCTGGGTAACGGGAAGTCAGAAGCGCAAGTTGAATGAGCACTGCCCTGTCTCCCTGGAGCTCCCCCTCTAGGCTGGGGGAAAAACAAGAAACAAGACAGGCAGGTGGAGAGTCGGGTGGTGGGGAGCTCGGGGTGCTCAGAAGGGGCACAGACCACTTCAGTACATCTGGGGAACCCAAGGCCACTGTACCCGACAGGGACTCTCGTCTCGATGGCATGGAAAACAAAGCCAGTGCCTCTACGGTTGCAGTTTGGGTGTGCAGAGGAAAGTGTCACACAGCATGCATCATACAAGATTATTTTATAATAGTCACCCGAAGAGTCACACACAGACGATCACAGGAGACCTGTCCACATGCTGAGACCCAAAAAATCCAGCCGAGGGCCCGGATCCCACGGCAGTGTCCTGCATGAGTCCCTCTGAAGACCTAGAGCCCAGGACAATGAATCACACAAGTCTATTTCACAAATTTGTGCTAGGAAGGCCCAAAGGTCAGTGGTGGAAGCCAGAAAGTCTGTACCACAGGCTGCAGGAAGTGCCCTGGAACCAGGAAGCAACATTCAAGGTAAGGACCAGGACTTCGCCAAAGAGACCTACAGCCATCCTCAGTGACGGTGAGGACCCAGGCTCCAACCATAGTAAGGACAGCCAAGTTCACATCAGGAAAGCAGTGTGAGGAGCTCCTCCAGGAGAATCAACAGCAACAGCTCCTCTGCCCCGCCAGGTCTCCCTCCTATGCTGTTGGCAGTGATCCTGGTGGGGAGGTCCTCCATGCCAGCACCACAATGACTCAGGTCAGCTGGGCACCGCAAGCTGACCACCAGTTGTGAACCCCCCGCACCACCACTCCATCACCACATGCAGGTGTCACAGCGCTGAGAAGCAGCGGAGTCCAACCCCAACCTCGGCCTCAAGCGCCCTGCCAGTCCACAGTACCTTTATGTCCCCACTGAGTTCCGAGTGCTGGCGCCCAAGCTGGTGGCTGCCTGGGAATCCTGGTGGCTTGAACACTTTGCCAGTGGCTCTTTAGCTACAGGGAAACTCCAATTCCCTCTGCCATTGGGGTCAGGACACTAAAACTGTGCAGGCTCCCTGGGGTGTGGTGGGCTTGGTAGGATGGAACCAGGGTGATGGGTCCAGTAATGAGGGAGGATGGATAGGCTGGAGAGAGACCCATGACCAGCAGAGTCCTGGAACAAATTCCAGCCGAGTCAAATCTTCTCTTGCTGGCTTCTGTTTTTGAACATAAAAGTTTTGCTTCACGTACTAGGAAGAAAATGCAGCAAAGCCCAATGGGTAATGTCCATTGGATAAAGTCTATTAACAACTTGAAGATTTCAGACACCTCATTCAACTCTAAATTGCTAGAAAAGCATGGTCAGCATAAGTTCAAGACTCACAACAAGTTCAAGACTCACTCTCCTCAGCGCACAGAAAGGTCCTTTCTCGGCAGGAAAGGTTTCATGAGAGATGCTCAGAATTCTCACGTCAATTCTGGCTCATGGAGATTAAAAACATAAAAACTCAACGCCCTGTGGTGGCTGTGGCCAAGGTCAGACCTTGCTGCAAGCCCTAGAGAATTCTCACCTGTGTCAGAACAGCAAATGTGACCCAGCCCTGCAGCTCTTTGCACAAAATCTGCATGCACAGGCAGCTGCATCTGCAGGGCCACCCATCCAGAAACCACTGGCTTCAGGTGCATGCAGTCAGGGAACTCACCCTGAAAACTCCCTCCTGGGGACGGCCCGTGGACTGGAAGAGGAACTCTCACTGGGCAGCCTGGCCTGAGGCCACCCTCACAGCCCACTTTTCCCTTTTGTCTGGGATCGGTGCCCTTGGCTGGGGGCTCTGGCGTCCCTGGAACCCAGTGCCTAGTCAGAATTACTTTTCTTTCATCAGACGGCAAGCAAGACGCTGGACTCTTACCCGGCATGGTCTTCTTCGCGGTGACACTGTCCATTCTCTCTCTGATCGGGATCTTTAACAGAGCGCTCCGTACCCGGTAGGTTTTGTAGACTTTCTGTTTTCTGATTACACACAAGTGCCATCAAAATTCAGTGACTGAGTAGAGGAACCCTTTCATGTTTGTGCATAGAAAGCAAATAACAGGGGGCTAGGGATTTAGCTCAGCAGCATAAGCGCCTGCCTTGCAAATGCATGGTCGTGAGTTCGATCTCTGGTACTGATAAAAAAAATTTTAAAAGAGCAGAGCTCCCCAGTACACACAGGGCTGTGCTCTCTATAAATGTCACTTACTTCACCCTCACGTTGACTCCACCAGAAAAGCTCCGGGCAGTGTTACAGAGACCCAGAAAGCTGGGATTCTTGGCTCAAGCTCACAGAGCACTAAGCCCGGACTCCAGCCCCAGCTGGGGCAGGACAGCCCCTCTCCGCCCTCTGCCTTCTATTTTACCCCAGTGCCACCTACAGAGCCTTGATTCTTTTTCTTGTTTGCATTTTGTTTTTAAACAGGGTCTCTATGTCATTCAGGCTGTTCTTGAGCTCACTGCATGGCCCCATGCCCAGGCTTGCTTTGAACTGTCAGGGGTGCTCCTGCCTCAGCCTCCTGAGTGCTGTGATCACAGGTGTGCGCCCCAGTGCCTGGCTAGGGCCTGGATTCTAGAGCACAGAACAGCCTTGAGTTTTACCCAGACCAAGGAGCAGATTCAACCTGGCAAGCAGCATGAGGATGTCGGAACAGCTCACTTTATGATCACACTTGTGTCCTTAGGATTTCAGCCCCAAAGCGCTTCTGAGGTTCCCCCAGTTTGATGAAGTCTGAGGCGAGTTCCTGAAAGTGGCCCATGCGGGCAAGGCCTCTGGTCTTCTCCCAGAGCCTCTCCTGGGGCTGCTTCCCTCGGGACACCCTGTACACAGACCCTGGTGGCAAATTCTCCCCCAGAGGGGCCCCAGTTTCTTTCTCGTCATCGCTCTCGCTTTGTGACACTGTCTTCCTCTGAAATGTGTGGGAGAGAGGTGCAGGAGGAAGATGATTTTAAAAGCTTTCTAAATAAAGTACCCTGGTGACTGCTATCGACACGCTCAGAACTTGGGAAATGTTTCAGAATTTAAATCGAATGCTAACAGATCCTGCCATGCTTGTGAGGAGGGAAAAGCAGCACAAGGACTTTATTTTAGGTTGTATTAAAAAATATGTGATTGCAGAGTCCTTGGAAATCTCTTGACGTGCACACTAGTTCCCTATGAAAGCAGTAATGCTCCTACGGTTATCCAGAGAGTCCCAATTAGCTCAAACAACATTCAGTTTGCTACTAAAAATAATATAGAAAGCAACTTTCAGTTGGCAGCATAAATAAGGAAATAAACATTTCTGGGTTACTTTAATTATTTAAATTCCTTTTTGTCTTTCTTTTTGAGACAGGGTCTCTATGCAGGTCAGCCTGGCCTTGAGCCCACTTTGTAGCCCAGGCTGATCTTGAACTCACAGTCATCCCCCTGCCTCAGCCTCCCAGTGCTGCGATTACTATGCCCAGCCAAGCATTCTTTTTATAAACAAGAGATAATTTCAGTAGGGCTATTTTGCCTGTTAGCATGCAGCCGTTCACTTATCTTTCCCAGTTTTTACCTCTCCTCAGCAACGTCTGCAGCACGTGATGACGGCCGTCCTCCTGGGAGCTGCTGCCTGACTGCGTTCTTTTCCTGCCCCTTTCCCTCCCCATCTCTTGGCCTCCTTCCCATTAGATGGTGTTATTTAATGGCCCAGCACTTTATTTCTGAAAGCCCTACGTCAGAAACAGAGCTGCAGAACGAAACTCAAAGCATACTGAACAGATTGAAACCAGGAGGTGATAAATAATTTGGTCCTCTTTGAAACAGAGAGAGTGTAAACGGTAAAAACAGAACAAAACCACTGTGTAAACAGAGGTAAAGAAATGACCTTGAGACTCAAAGTACAAGGTCACAGAAGGCCTGGGAAGCTCCGCACTCCCGCTGGTGTTTCATAGACGTCCCTACCTACTGACCGAGTCCCACCTGCCACTCACCGGTCCCCGACATCAGTGCGAGGGAACCTCGGCTCAGCGCCCTCCCCCTCGGTCCTGGGTGTCCCTGGGCCCCACTCAGGCTGGACTGTCCACGCAGAAGATGCTTTTAAACGCCACGGCGGTGCCCAGAGCGGCTGGAGGGCACGAGCCGGGAGCACAGCTCCTTGCTGCCACTGCTCTGCCGTCACCTACTTCCCACCTGCCTGGGCCCAGGGCATCCGGACAGGTCCTCCTGGGCCACCACAGATGGACAGGGAGGACACATGCAATCCACATGACCCTGGTTGGGCGAGCCACCAAGCCCAGAACTATAGGAGCTAGAGTTAGTGTTTTAATGTGTCTCTCTTGGAAGAGCTGTGGCTGTTGTAGACAAATGTCCCCTGAGTTTTTTCAGAGTTTCCTGTCCCAACATGGCCTGCTCGGGTGGCTGGCCACACTTGATGTCTCCAGCTTTTCCCATTTCTCTTTATTTTGTCTTTTTGAGAAAGGGTTTCACTAATGCAGTTCAGGCTGGCTTTAAACTCGCAGGGATCCTCCTACCTCAGCCTCCTGAGTGCGTGTGTCACCAGGCCAGACCTTACTCTCTCCCACGTCTCTTGAGTCTAGTGTTTTAAAGTCTTCCTGCTCATTGGAAAGAAGCAGAGCAGCAGACCCCAGCGGGAAGCTGGGAAGATACAGAGCCCAGGCCTCACTTCACGTTGCCCCAGGATGTCTGCCCCTACCTGTGGATTCCACCCCATCCCTACCCCATCTTCTAACCATGTCCTTTGTTCTCTTAGAATTAAAAGGAAAATCTTACTGCTGCTACCAGGGTGGCTTCGTGACCAGGTTCCTAACGTAGGGAACAGTAACGCTGTGAAGATGCTACAGGTAACCGTCCAACCCAGGGGCTGGGGATTTAGCTCAGCGGCATACCCACCTGCCCTGCAAGCAGGCAGTCATGAGTTCGATCCCCTGTACCAATAAAAAGGAAAAAGACCAAAAAAACCAAACCAGGGGTCGGGCCCCATGATAGGGCAGAAATCCCATCTCAGCACCATTATCTGGGTGCAGGAACAAAGTCAGACATAGTCCTAATCACGCTTATAAGAGTTGAGAGGACGGGGTCAGGGAAGAAGAGAAAGAAGCCACACTGTCCACAGGAGAAAAGTGGAGTGGAGGCGGGGTCAGCGTCAGGGTCACTGGAGACAGAGTGACCACTGGGTGTCCGCAGGGAGGAGGGATGAGCTGGGGGGACTCAGCCTTCGGAGTTTCGGGAGATGGGAAAGGGGGGACATGAGATGGGGGTGCGTGAGGGAGCTGGTGTCTCCGGAGATGGAGGACGGTGCTCTGGTCGGCCTGGGACGTGGCCTCAGAACTGATAGACTGTAAGTTCTGGTAGCAGAACAACAGTGACCTCCTTCTCACGGTTCTGGAGGCCAGGAGAGCCAAGGCCAGGGTGGCGCGGTGTCACTGTGGCTCCCTGGCCAGTGGTGGTGGCTAGATGGTGGCCAGGTGGACATCTCGCTCCTGCCTCTTCTTCACTAAGCACTCCATGAGGGACGCATCCATGCGACCCAGTCAGCTCCCAAAGGCGCTGCCTCCAGATAGTGCCGCATTGGCTTGGACACATGGATGGAGGGCATGGATAGGGTCAGTCGGTCACGGGCGGCTACAATTTTATAATTGCATCGCTTGGGAATGATTTTCCCCAGGAGACACATCAAATCCATTTCTCATCCAGAAAAGTCAAGGGGCTAAAACCCAGAAGTGTCTGGATTCCCCAAATAGCTCCCCACCGTTAGAACAAAGCGTTTATGACAGACTTATTACTCTTACACTATGAGCAAAATAGGAGTGTCTGCCCTTTCCTGTATTTAAACAACAATGTGTTTTCCCATAGTGAGGCTCCATGATACTAAGATACAGTTCAAAGTATTCTAGAGCCCAACTTTTATTTTTTTTAAGAATATATTTATTGGGAAAAGAAAGCCTCTGTCTGAGACACAGAAGGGATCCCGAGTGGGTTGCCCTCCAACTTTTTATTTTTATTTTTGAAACAGGGCCTCACTGTGTAGTTTAGGCTGGTCTTGATCTTACTGTGTCGTCCAGGCTGGCCTTGAACTCATGGCGATCCTCTTGTCTCAGCCTCCCAAGTGCTAGGATACAAGAATGCACCACTATGTCTGGCTCCAAAGTCCAGCTTTTAAAAGAGTTCTGAAGTAATGTGCATGTTAATATGCAAGGCTTTACTTTCACTTTAAAAAATCAAGAAATGTGCTTAAGTTGTGGATTATTTTTATTATCCCTTGGCTCTAGTCTGCTCGTGGGAGAATTTAACAAAGATGACAAAAGACAAAGAAAGGAAAGCACTCAGGAAGACAGACAATATTCGAGAAACGAGAGGGAAGGGAGAGTGGAGAGGAAGGAAGGACATCCCCAGTCCTTTGGTTATCCAGGACGCTCTGTAATGGGCTTTCATAAATCGAACAATGTCTTTTTTTTCCCTAGGAAAAAGATGGGTTTGTGAACAGTAGCACCAGTGAGCAGGTCCCTTATGTGGACCCAGTGATTACAGAGATAAAAGAAGTTTTTCACCCAGAAGGGCGCAAGCCTGCAGGTGGCAGGAAAGACAGGAACACAGGAACCCAGGACATGAAAGCGCCCCTATTCGTCAGGAGCCCCGAGGTGTACATCCCCAACCTCAGCACCGGGTATAAACCACAGATCTCAAGCTTTCTCCCAGAGGGAAATCATCTCAACAGCAGCGGTGAAACCGATCCATCAGCCCCGAAGCCAGCAGCAGACCCCTTTGACCCAGGAAAGAATGCCAGGGTTAGAAAATACCCTCGGTTTGCCTTTCCAGGCGCCAGTGTGAGTTCCCTGAGCAGCACACTCATCCTGGAAGAATTAAGTCTTATTCTCACCCAAGGCGACAGCGGGCCTCCTGACATGCCCAACTCGGCAGCAGGCAGAAGTGCCATGCTTCTGGAAGACGATTTGCCCAGAGATACCATCCCAGAGCAGACCGTACTGCCGGATGACTTTGTCGCCTGCCTGGGGATCGTGAACAAGGAGCTGCCTTCTATTAACGCTTACTTTCCACAAAACATTTTGGAAGATCACTTCAATAGGATTTCACTCTTGGAAAAGCAGAGCGCGTAGCCAGAGTGCAGCAGAGAAAGCAGCGTTGGTGTCAGAAGTTGTCTCTTCCCCTCGGTAGAAATGGCATCCTGCCTCCGAGATCCCGAAGTGGGACTTACTTCACGGTCACACACACCAAAAAAAAAAAACAGCATTAGTAGGGAAACCAACGCATTTATTAAAAAACACCAAACCACACTACTTCCTCTTCAGCCCTTCCTCCCTGAAAGGTACAGAGTAGCTCTGCTGTGTGGAGGAAGGATCAATAGCACAAGATGTGCGGCAGTGAAATAAACGCCAAAAACCAGAATAGCAGCATCTGCTTGCAAAGGGAAAAGTGAGTTTAACTTTCCTCTTCGCACTTCTAATTTTCTCAAGTAGCTTAAAATTAGCTCCGCAGAGCAAACTCAGTAAAAGATGAAAGAAGGAGGCCCGTGAATTCGTCTCATTTGCAGTCACATCTCTTCCTCTGCTTTCTGTTTGGGTGTTAGAGGTTTGGTCTGGCTGTGTTTGGTCCATGAGGGGTAAAACAATGAAGCTATGAATTCCCTCTCTTCGTTCAAGTCAACAGCGGTGCCACCAAGCTCCTGTGGCATCACTGGTGTGTGATCTAAACTCACGGAATCCAGGAGAGGTGGCAGATGTAGGATCAGCTCGGCGTGATTGTTCCTGATATCATCTGTTGTGTAGATTCCTCAGAAACCTCCTTAGAGCAGAGCGTACCAGGAGCAGCCAGGCAAAGGACCTCACACTGCAGACATCGCTAGCCAATCACTGCACACCGTGATTTCCTTTTCATCATTCTGTTTGTTAGAATGTATGTATCCTGCAAGGAATCTGTTTCACATCCCTAATGCAATGTTAAGGTTAAAATATCTTGCTTTCTATCAAGTGCATTTGCCTCCTTCTTCTCCAAAGAGAGGATTGTAATGAAACAAAGAGGCAAGGAGTACTGGAGCCAGAAAGAACCAAACTGAGATTCATCTTTGTTGTTTAATAACCTAGTGTGGGCATCTGGTAATATGGGAATAATGGTTTTATGGTGCATCTCACCATGTCTGTAATTTGTCACTCAATGTAACTGCTTTTGCAGCCGGGCATGGTGACACAGGCCTGTAATCCCAGCAACATTCTCAAGGCTGAGGCAGGAGGATTGCCGAGTTCGAGGCCAGCCTGGGTTACATAGACCTTGTCTCAGAAAAAACAAAACAAATATAAAGCTTCCACCAGGCTGGAAGGAGCACAGCACTGCTCGAGCTCTGTCGGTCACCAAAGAGACCAGACCAAGAGACCAGACCAATCCCATTTTTGCTGTTAGCCTTTTGGTCCCAGTGGGCCAGAAATTTTGCTTGGCCCCTGCCCTAATCATGGGGAAATTTCAGCTGCTTCACCCAATGCCACCCTGACCTGGAAGCCAGGGTTTTCTTTCCACTTAACTTGAACTCACCGGACCACTGAAAACCTTGTGACCAGCAAGGCCCTTGGGAGATTATGAATGTGAACACAGCCAAGTCCCTGCAGCTGTGGGCTTGTATCCTGGGGGTGAGAGGCATCCTGTGGGGAAGGGCGGGCAAGGGCTTCAAAGACCTCGCAGTGGGGAAGTGGTCGGATGGGAGTGGAGAGGGCCAGCGAGAAACAAAGGAGAAATAACGGACAGCAGTGTGTGCTGGGTGTGCGAGGCGAGGTGGGTAATGCGGCAGAGAGCAGCCCGCCTTGCACTGGTGACCAGGGAAACCCATTTGCTGACATAGCCCCTGAATCTCAACAAGCCACACCCTCCCGTAGGCCTCCACTGCCTCAGGCCCTGGCCTCCTGCAGCTGGCGTTTGTATGCTGTCTGCATCTCCCCAGCATCTGAAATGGGATGTGAGAGGGGAGAAGACCCAAGCATGCTACTGTGGGTGCCCTGGGCTCGCTGTTTCCCTTCCCTGTGCACCCCAGGGGGCACCTTGCCTTTGACATCCAGTTGATGCCATGCCGCAGTGGAAGAGGGGAAAGGTTTTTCCAAAAGCAATCTCAGCCACTGATCTGTCCTGTAATCTCACTCCAAATCCCAGCAGCCAGCACAGGAGAGGACAGAGGCGTCCTCTGCCTTCTCACCTGCTCCTTTGCAGGCCGAGTCCCTGACAGCTCAGAGCTCAGGACTGCAGCTCATTCTGCAGCTCCGTGCAGAGCTGCTAGGTCAGGCCCCAGCCGCCCCCAAGGCCCTGCAGGATTGGGTCAGAGGGGCCTCGTCTGCTACTGGACACAGAGCTTTGTGTACTGTTACTTCGCTGCTCTCCAATCACCACACCCTAAATGTCCAGGCTGACTTCAAGTTTATGTCCTTTTGGGATCACTAACAATAAAATACTGCATGGCAAGCATAATTAAATTTCATAAACTGAGAGACAGTTGACTCCCTCGGCGGCCTCTCTCTTTATGAAGTAATTACGCCACTCGCAGGAGGTTATGTTTTAATGGGAAATGTTTCCCACTCGGCAGACACCCGGATTTAAAATAAAAGAAATGATTAAAAACAATTTGCGGGCCTCCCTTGGGGAAAAGCATGAACCCAATGTAAAATACTTGTCCTCTGATTCGTGGAGCAGGTTACGGCTGCTGCGGGTAAGGGAATTACAGGAATGCTAATGCAGGTTTGATAGAGTGCTGTTACGTTCTTCCCAGCGCTAAGATCACACCATTAAACCCAATTAATGTCTCACATGAGGCTCCCTTAGCCATTTTGCTAATTTCACTTTTCAGCTTAACTTGTGATCACCACCCTCTGTCTTTCAGAATTTCCATCAGTTTTCTGAAGATGTGTTTATTCCCTTTAGGCTTATGTTCAGAATACAAAGTATCACCTAATTCTCATAATTAGCATTTAGCAACACATTAAGGACTCAACAGTACAGGGTCCATTTGTATTTAGGGCAGTCAAAGTATACTGGCCTAGCTAAGAAAGACAAAAACAGCCTATTATCTCAGCATTCGAGAGACTAAGGCAGGAAGATTGTTGCAAGTTTGAAACGAGCCTGGGCTACAAAGTGAGCTCAAGGCCTGCCTGAACTGCATAGCAAGATGCTGTCTCAAAAAAAATAAAAATAAAAATAAAAATAAAAACAAGAAAGCAAGCAGCACCCCCACACACACCTGCCAAAAAAAAAACCCTCTAAGCTAAATGGCTGTGTCGTAGAAACCTATATCTTTTCTGCCACTGTTTCAAAAATTCCAAGAAAACAAAAGTGCCATCTCTAACCACGAAGGTGAACCTAAAATTAGGGCCTCTGCAGAGCACAGGAAGGAAATTGTGAACAGGCAAGCGCCAGGACTGCGCGTGAGAGCCGGAAGTCAGTACCCCGCAGCTCTTCCCCAGCAGCTCCTGCAGCCTGAGGAGGTCTCAGCCCGGCGCTCACCAGGAGGAACATGGCAGTGGCTCACGGAGAAAGCGCTTCAGTTTAACCCGCGTGTTATTTGTGAAAATGCGTTTTAAAAACTGATCATGGTAACAGTGGCGTGGATGGGGGAAGTGTGGATGCCCCTCCACACCCTCCTGCATCCCACCCTGTCGATACAGTCTGGACCTCAGTCACCGTTGTGTTTTTTTAATTTAAATGATGAAAACGTAGTATTGTTCTGTGACTGGATTTTTCTCTTGGAAATGTTCACATTTTATTATGTGTGGCTGTTCTTTATTGTTTTAGACAAATGCATGGCATTCCATGGAACACATGCATCCTGGTGCATGTAATAGGCACCCAGGGGTCCCAGGTTTCACTATTACACCTATTCCATAGTAATCTTATATGCAGTGTATCACCGTTATCAATGGGAATTTTGTAAAGGGGGCTTTATTCTTTGTAAAGAATAAAGGAAGTCTCTCTCTCTCCCTCTCTCTTTCTGACCTTGTTTTTGTTTTATGAGACAGGGTCTCACGGGCTGACTTTGACCTCACTGTGTAGCTCAGGCTGGCCTCAAACTTGCAGCAATCCTCCTGCCTTGGCCTCCTAAGCACTGGGAATACAGGAGAGCAACAGATTCTTAAATGTGAAATTGTTGGGTCAAGAAATAAAGTCATTTACATTTTGGTAAATAGTACCAATTATTTTTCCAAAAGGACTCTGCTAATGTGGGGTCATGATTTAAAATGCTTGTCAGTCTGTTGGGTACTTGTTGGCTTTTTTTTTTTTTTTAAATGCGATTGAACATTCACTCATACGTTTTCCTCTTTCATAGTTTGTGTTTTGTTTTGTTTTGTTTTGAGACAGGGTCTCCCTATGTGGCCTTGAACTCACAGCGGTCCTCCTGCCGCAGTCTCCCCAGAGCTGGGACTACAGGCATGGGCCAGCATACCCGGCTATATTCTTTATTTTCTGAATCCCTTTTGTTTATTCTTTGGTCTTTTTTTTTTTTTTTTTTTTTTTTTTGAGGCATGGGTTGTTCTCTTAGTTATTTGTGAGGATTTTATAGATAATCTTTTCTGTTACATATATACCCTTCAAATAATTTCCCCAGCCTGGTTTTTTTTTTTTTTTTCTCTTCTTCTTTGGCTACACAAAAGCTTGAAGATTGTGTATAGTCAATCTGCGGGTATTTTTCTAGATGGTATCTGGGTGAGCTATCATGTTTAGAGACATCTGTGTTTATACCTGAATCTGTGTCATCTAATCTGTGGCTACATCTTTTTTTGCTTTGTGGCCAGGCTGATCTCAAGCTCCTGGTGTCAAGCGATCCTCCTGCCTCAGCTTACCAGTCTGATGAAGGGCATGTACCAGTCAGCCCAGCAGAAAGGAGCTGGGGTGACCCCCTTCTCTTGAGAAGCGCACAGATATGGTTAGAATCCACCTCTCAGACCCTGGCCGCGTGGCTTTTTGCAAACTTTTAATCTGAAGATTTGGTATCTTCTTCCTTATCAAAGATCACAGCGGCCCATGAGGAATGTAAGTAATCATTATATTCTGCAAACAGACGAATAAAAACAAATCTTTTGAAAAACCATGTCACCTCAGTATTTTCCCCTGTCCATTCAGTGAAAGGACTGGGTAAAGAGAGGAGGAGGAACAGGCACTTTGGGAATTTTGATAAAGCAGGGCAGGAAAGCCTGGGTGGAGGAGGAGCTCCTGGGAGGAGTGGCAGGGAATCCTGCAGAGGATGATTTTGGGACACCTGGGACACCCTTGACCATCTGTTAAACAGCGCCTCCTTCAAATTCCGTCCTCCCCGTGTCCTCTGATTGGGTGGCCAGGACTCCTAAGTAATATGCAGCATTCACTGATCGCGGGTTAATACTTGCCGCTCTTTTCTCCAACTTTCCTCTTCTCTAGACGGAAGCAAAGTTCAGTACTCCTTGTACTTGGGGATTTGATTCAGAAAGATGCATTGTATTTCAGTCGTGGAAGCTGGGAATCACTTGTACCTCCCTAAAAGAAGAGATGAAGGTTTAAAAAGTCACCAAGTGGCTAGCACAGTGGTACACACCTGTAATTTCCACACTTGGGAGGCTGAGGCAGGAGGATTTCTGGGAATTTGAGGCCAGCCTGGGCTACACAATGAATTCAAAGGCAGCCTGAACTGTATAGTGAGATCCTAAAAAAAAAAAAAAAAAAAAAAAAAAGTAGCCCAAAGCTGCTAAGTATCTGCAGGCTGTGTTCTCTTCCTTAGCGGGAGTGTCCCCAGGAGGGTTCTGTCCATGGACTGAGGCAGCAGCAATGCAGGATGGGAAAGGGAGAGGTCCAGGCTCTGCAGGGAGAGCATTGGTGACGTGGGTGAGAGCCCTCCCGGAGTTCACAGAAGCACCCTTCAGAACTCTTAGGGTGTCCTTTCCATTTCCGTTTAGTTTCACTAAAAAATAGAAATTGTCATTCAGCAAAATGAATTCCGGAGGAGCGTGTGGAACTGCACCCCCAAACAAAATTGCAGATGGGTGGTTGATTTTCTTTCTCCCTTAGGAGCTTCGGTTAAGGGCAGTTGGGGTTTTCAGATTTCAAGATTATGGGGCACAGTTCTGCCCATGTGGTGGCCATCACTGTCTCCCTGCTGCCCCATCTCCAGGGGCCACTCCTCACCTCATCCACAGGTTTGTTAACTGTCACCAAGTGAGTCCACTCCCCCCGAGCTCAGGGAAGGCTTTCTGGAAATTGTTGGCCAGGGGTTCAGCCTTGGCCCCCCACCCTGGGACCGGACAGGCTGCTCCCAAGAATTGGGTATAGATCTGGGAGAGACCCTGCAGGCGACAGTGTCACACACTGTCCCCAGTGCCACAAGCTGCTGTCCACCTCATCCTGCTCCATGTGAGCACAGAAGGGCAATCGGACTCAGCCCAAGGGGAATAGAGAAATCGATGGGGCATGGGGGACGGGTAGGGGGTTTTGGAGGAGAGTCCCAAGGGCATGGGAGTCCTGGCTTCACTTGTTGATAGAGTTCAATCACACAGGGCGCCCTTAATGCCTTAGCAACTTCGATGATTTATAATTGAGAGTCTTCCCACATGAAAACGCAGGGCTTTGTGCTCACAGTGACCAGGATGGCTCGCAGGGCTGCCTGCATTGACAGCCAGCAGGGACCTCTGTGGAGAGGGACATCGCACACCGCTGTCAGCAAAACTGCTGTAGGGTTAAACCGCAAACCACCTGACAACTCCTCCCTCCGCAGCCTCTGCTGTGGGAGGCCTGGGGCAGCAGTGACTTGGCCCAGGGACGGCACCGCGCTCTGCAGAGGCCGTGGGTCGCCCGCCCCCAGTATCCTGTTCTGAAGCCTGCGACAGAGGTGATGAACGCACTCGTGTCCTTTCCCGTGCTTGCAGCTGTTCCTTTCACCTGGACGCCCTCCCTGGTGGACGCCACCCCTGCGCCCCCCCCCCCCCCAGTACAGGACTGAGGTCCCGGGTGACAAAGCCCGGTGTCCACGCGCACGGACGCAGTGCAGCGCATGGAAGAGAAAGCCCCTTTCCTGGTGTGCACGGAAGCCGGGCCACTTTACTATAAACCACAGAAGAAATGACGCAGGTGTCGGCGGCCACATCCCCTCCCGTGAACGGGCATAGGAGACGCCAGGTGTCACAGGTGTTGCACACAGAAGCAGGACTCGACGTGGGGAAAGCGCTGCTGCCCTGGGAAAAGCTCGGCCAGCTGCCCCGGGCTCCCCGCATACAGGGTCTGATCCCGTCTGCCCCACACCCTGCGAGGCCGGGTTCTCACCCCTCCTCGGCCTGGGCCAGCAGAGTCAGCTAGGGTGCCCGGTATCCAGCCCCACCCGGCCGCCTAGTGGCCGGGCGGTCAGCCCGCTGCCACCTCGCCTTCCTAAGGCCATGCTGCGCCTCCCTGCGACTTCTCCCGGGCGCGGAGCTTCTTGCAGATTCCTCCTTTAAATCGCCACACGGGCCCACAGGCTGCCCCAGCCTGGTCACAATGGCAGTGAGGGCACAGCGTGTGGTGGCCGGCGGGCATGCGACAGGCCCAGGTGGAGAGGCACGTCTGGGGTGCGCGCTCAGCTCAGCTGTGTAAGTCATTGAAAACCCAGCCTCCCCGGGTGCAGCGCCTGAACCCGGGCTGCAGCCCCCTCCCGAGCTGGGGAATTTCCTCTCTGAGTACTGGCAGGATAGTCAGCAAACTCAGTATTTTAGGTTCCAGAAAGAAACGTGGTGTCAGGGTTCCATTTCCCGCATGTGAGGCCTACACCATGAGTATTTCAAAGCGTGCGTGTACTAATGTGAAAGCTCAGTGACGGTGGGCAGCTACGGGGCAAGAGCAGGTACGAGTCCCCGCGTAATCTGCATCTTGGTGGTCAGCCTGGTAGGATTGAGCATCACTGGGCAACAGGAAAGCAGGCATGTGGGCGTGTCTGTGGGCGGGATCCGGAGGTGACTGGCACACAGGACAGCAAATGGTGAGGGGCCTCCAATGTGGGCAGCACTGTCCAATAGGAGGGGACTCATGCATCACTTCCTGGCCTCCATGCCATGAGCAGCTTTTTCCGCCCACGGCTCCTCGGTGGGTTCCTGCCAGCCCCAGGCCTAGAGCAGGGAGCCAGGGACCATGGAGGGACCCTCAGACTCCGCAGGCCAGACACATCTGCTTTTCTGAAGTGGCAAAAATCTAACCCAGAGGACTGAGGCTGGAAAATTATACTGAGAGCACGAAACAGATGTGACAAAACGTTAAAAGCAGGCGTCTGGTGAGACAATTTCCTAGAAATTCATTGTATGGTTTTCACACTTTGTTTCTGGATATTTGAGTTATTTCAAAATATAGTGTTAAAAAAAAAAGCCAAGGGGCTGCGGATTTAGCTCAGCGGCATAAGCACCTGCCTTGCAAGCAGGCAGTCGTGAGTTCGATCCCTTGTACTGATAAAAACGAAAAAGACAAAAAAAAAAAAAAAAAAAAAAAAAAAAAAAGCCAAAACAGAGCACAAGGCTTTGACCAGGAGTTTTGGGTTCAGATGTCTCATTCTCTCTCCATCTTGTTTCCAGGGGACCAGAGACTGCCCTGACGAGAGGCCCGGACTCTTCCCTTGGTCCTGCCCAGGCCAGGGCTCATGAGAAGTGGGAATGGCTCGGCCTCTCTGTCTCTGCAGCTGGCTCCTCTGTTACCATAAACTGAGGGTCACATTCCCACTTCGCTCATCACAGAGACACAGCCACTCCTGCCTTCAGGCCCAAGCCATCAGGGTAAGAGTGACTAGGCTATTTTAAGGACCTGCAGGGACACTGTGGTCTCTTGTCACTTGTGTCTCCTGTCCAGATGGCAGGAGCAGCTCCTAGAAGCATCTAACGATTGCCCTAAACTGGAAGAAGCTGAGTCTACCTCACCTTTCTCTCCTGCGGCTGCCTTGGGCTCCAGGAAGAGCAGGGCAGGTGGACATCGTCACGGCTGGACTAATCCGTGACTCC